GTATTTCGTGAGTCTGTCTGTTCTATTTCCCGCTCTGTCTCTGGTGAATCCTCTCACCCTCCTGCGCATCTGGCCTGTACCCCGGTTCTTGTATAAATAAATAAATCTTTAAAAAAAAAAGAAGAACGAGGATAAGCATTACAAGTAGGACCTCCCTGGTGGTGCAGGGGTTAAACAGAGCGCTATCAAGCTACCAACCACTGCAGCACAAGTTGCAGCAACCCACATGGCACAGGAGACCTCTCCTGACTTGCCCTCTGCTCCCCTCAGCAGTGTATTTCAGTTAGTCTGCCTGTTCTGCTCCCCACTCTGTCTCTGGTGAAGCCTCTCACTCCCCCACCTCTGGCTTATACCCCAGTTCTTGTATGCATAAATAAATGCTTTTTTTAAAAAAAGCATTACAAGTAAAAGTGGGCTTCTCATCAGAAACCACTAGAGCAAGAGGGAAAGTGGAGTAAAAAACACCAAAGTATTGAAAGAAAATTAATTGTCAGCCTAGAGTTACTTATCCAGCAAAATTATTCTTCAAGAGAACTTGTAGAATTTAAGAAATAGAACAAATTCTTTTTACTAGCCTAAAACAATAGCAACAAGATATTTGGGAATTCTAAAGCTATTCTTGGCAATAATCAGAAATGTTCTTGGCTTCATTTATTCTGAGTTTGATGATGTATGAAGTTCCCGAGAACAAAGAATGTTGCATGAAAAATGTGTAGACAGATCCTTGTTTGAATTTCCACTTTTATGGACATGTGATGGTTCTTGTATAAATAAATAAATCTTCATTTATACAAGAACATGTAATGGTTCTGTTTATGTTTTTCAAGCTTAATTGTTCACAATTCGTTACTTTGATTTTTGTGATCTTTTGTGGATTTAAAAATATTGAGGCAACAAAAATGTTATGCTAACGTTGAAAGCTTTTCATTATTTCTAATGCTATTTAAATCTTGTCCATCTATTTAATATCAAAAGATCAAGTCCTGTTTAGTGATTGATGATTCTTTTCTGTGTTCTAGGTAATTATTATTATCACTAAGAGAAATTATTCTCCTGTGGGAAACTTTATTTTATTTTTTTTAATAAATTTTATTTTTATATTCCTCATACATTTGCAATCCCCCCACTCTGACCCCAATCCCTCCCCCTCCCCCCCCCCCCCCCCCCCCCAAAAAGGTGTCTGGTTCATAGTTTTTGTTGATTTTGATTTTCACTTCTATAGTTATTCATTTTCCTGGTCCCTTATTTAAGTATTCTAGATTCCTGCTATGAGTGAGACCATCCGGTATTTTTCTTTTTCTTTTTGGCTTATTTCACTGAGCATGATCCCTTCCAGCGCCATCCATGTTGCTGCAAATTGCATGTGTTTATCTTTTTTGAATGCTGAGTAATATTCCATGGTATATATGTACCACATCTTCTTGATCCAGTCATCTATTTTTGGGCATTTGGGCTGTTTCCAAAGCTTAGCTATTGTAAATAGTGCTGCTATAAACATAGGGGTGCAGGTGTTCTTTGGAATTGATGTTTCTGTGTTCTTTGGGTAAATACCTAGGAGTGGAATTGCTGGATCCTGTGGAAGCTCTATGTTTAGTAGGTCCAGAAATCTCCACACAGCTCTCCATAGTGGTTGGACCAGTTTGCACTCCCACCAACAGTGCAGAAGAGTTCCTTTTTCTCTCCTGTGGGAAACTTTAAAGATTGTTTACTATGCATGCACATTTTAAAAAAGATTTATTTTTTATTTATGCATACAAGAAGTGTGGTATAGGCCAGAGGTGTGGGTGGTGAGAGGATTCACCAGAAACAGAGAGGGGAACAGAACAGGCAGATCTACTGCAAAACACTACTGAGGGGAATAGCAGGTGAGATAGGAGAGGTCTGCTGCAGACCTCTGGGGTCAGCTCCCTGGCAGGGGATCAAACTCCTGGAGAAGCGGCTGCTGATAGCTTGATAGTGCTGACTTAACGACTTTTGCCACCAGGGAGGCCCTCTAAAATTTTTTTTAAGATTGATTTATTTATGCATACAAGAACTGGCATCTAGGCCAGAGGTTCAGAGGGTGAGAGGATTCACCAGAGAGAGTGGGGAGCAGAACAGGCAGATCAGCTGCAATACACTGCTGAGGGGAGCAACCGGTGAGGCAGGAGAGGTCTGCTGCTTCCTGTGGGTTGTTCCCTGGTGGGCTGGGGATCAAACTCATGCTGCAGTGGCTGGCGGTAGCTTGATAGCACTGACTTTTAACCCCTGCGCCACCAGGGAGGTCCACTGCTCTAAATTTTATAGAGCACAGGTCATCTGTAAATTAAGAGAACCTAATGCAGTGTTCCTCTGCTAAATCTCACTATTGACTGACTCTATGATCAGTATTCTAACTCATAATTCTTTATTAACTTTGCTCCAATGCCTTTAATACTTCTCAGATAAATTCTAGTTTTCTATTCCCAAGTGTTAGTTCATGTTGCTGGTTTTAGAAGGTTCTGAAGCATTAGTACAGCTATTTATCTTTGGGGGCAGGTTTTATTCACCATGACATTGGATATTTATGCTGTGAGCCAAGGTTCAGTTATCACAAAGGATTTGCCCACTGGTCAATAATTCATGTTGAGTTTCTTTGGAGAATGAATCTAACTTTGTTCTCTAACAGAGCAGGACTAAGAGCATTATGCACTAATGGGTCTGAGAAAAGGATTCAGATGCATTGGCCTGAATGGCTAAAATTAATTCTACATAAAATAGCACTCCAAGATGATTAATTTTCATTCTACAGTCTTGGTTTAATTAGTGCTCGCTAGTTAAAATATACACGCTGATGTCTCTGTTTCTTCTTATGGTTTGCTAATTAAATTTCATGGTCATTTTAAGAAAATAGAATTTTCTGTCTGGCAGTCACTATGGCTTGCAGGGTTAGGATTCAAGTCACTCAAAGAGATAGCTTCTAGACTCAGTGCTTCTCGCTCTGGTCTCCAAGATTAAACCACATCGGGCACAATGTATGTTCACACGGATGACATACATTTAAATTGCCATTGGTTTTTCTGGAATCTTACAGCATTTATTCATTAGAAAATGAAAAATGCAAGGGAAAAGAAGAGAATCAGACATCTTTGTTCTTAATTCCTCTCAGGGAAAATAATCATTTTGTATGATGTGGTTTTCTAGCCCAATAAAATTGAAGTACAGGGTAGGGAGACATGTTAGAATTAGCCATTAATCACTCTACTTCATCTCATACCTGTTAGCAAAATAGCTGAATCGTTACTCCATTAGGTCCGTTTAGCTTATCTCTGTGATCCCTGATTTTCTGGGAGTCATCCATGCTTGCTTTATTGTTTTTTTTTTTTTTAAGATTTATTTATGCATACAAGAGCTGGGATATAGACCAGAGTTGCCAGAGGTGAGAGGATTCACCAGAGACAGAGTGGGGAGCAGAATAGGCAGATGTGCCAAAACACACTGCTGAGGGGAGCAGTGGGCAGGGGAAACAGGAGAGGTCTGCTGTGCATGTGGGCCACCTCCCTGGCCTTGGATCAAACTGCATTGGCTGTGGATTGCTTCATAGTGCTGCATTTTAAACCCTTGCACCACCAGGGAGGCCCCCATTCTTGCTTTAGAAGTGATGTGGAGTCCACAATTAAGCCAAAATGTCTTTCTCAGTGTGAGTTGATTTGATTAGCCTCAGTCCCAGAATTGTCACTGGTTCATGAAAGGGCTCACCAAACACCAGGAGGCTCCCATTGTACAGGCCCCAGTGGGTTGGCACAGTGACAGGCCCAGAGCCAGGACAGCCCTGAGATGGGACTACCCAAGGACCTTTCTGGTGGCACTGAAGATCTGGCTGTTCTACAGCATCTTGTGTCCAGGCTACCTCTAACACAGCTTTTAAAGGGAAAGCGTAGGCATAGATCTGCACTAGTACTTTAACAGCGAGCGTATCTTAAGTGCGAATTCCTGCGTGTTAGGTATCACAACATGTGGATTACATCTGAACATATTAAATAAATCGTTATGAAGCAGAAAGAAAAATTTCTAAACAATCAGAAATTAAGAAACATTGATCAACCACACTAGAGGACAGACTGAATTACTTTTATATTCTCTTTAGAGAAAATGATAATACAATTGTCACACAAGGAAGGGATCAACAAGTATGTTGGCAAAAATGTCGGAAAAATATTACAAATGAGTGGTAGGCATTACTTAATAAAAATGTTGTACCTATTTGGAAAAAGAAATGAGGTGCATACATTGCATGCATCGTACCATACACAAGAATCTAATGCTTTTGCTGTCCGTCATAACATTGACACTTTGCTGGCGTCCAGATACGATGTTTCATAGATTTGCGTAGGCTTTGAATACATCTGATTGGGTCTTCTTGGTTTGATTCAGGTTAAACATTTTTTGCAAGACTATAAAGGTGGTGATTCTTTCTCTAAACCCATCACATCAGGAGGCGTTTGATTGCTCTTTATCTGTGGGGTCATGTGGTTAAGATGGTGCATAGACCTTTAAGTGGTGGCATGGCGTTAGTTCTATCACAAGGCTACTACTGCGTTCACACTCTGAGAAGCAAAGTATCTGGCAGAACTCAGAGCGCGCGGCAGGAGGCAGTCGCTTTCCCACGCACCAGGAGAATCGGTCCCACCACGCCCTCCCAGTCGCCCGCCCGCCTTTTTTCCCCAGAAAATCAGTTCTCAGAACCAGAGAACCCTTACTCTAAAGCACCCGGGTCTTTTCCCATCAGCATGAGTGCGCCTGCGCAGAGAGCCTGCCAGCCTCTCCTTTCCAGGGCCCGACCGCCTCTTCTTCCCGCTCTCCTCCTCCCTCCCCCGCCCAGCTGAAGCTTTTCCCTCGGGGGTCATAACAGGGCGCCAAACGCGCGCCCGCGGGTAGGGCCGGGGGCGGGGCGCAGCGCGGCGCGGCACGTCAGTGGCCTTCCGGGCGGAAGTCAGCAGCCGGCGAAGCCTCTGATTGGCTCATAGGCTGGCGCCCGTCTCGGCCCCCGCGCCAGTTTCGGGCTGGTTGGCGCGTAATCGGGAGACTTGAGGACCATGGCGCCGGTGCACGGTGACGACTGCGAGCTGGGGGAGAGCGGTGAGGGATAGCCCCGCGCCTGGGGTGCCCGGTTGGCAGTGCGGGGACCGGGGCTTAACTGTGGGTGGTGGGGTCTTGAGGGGGAGCCTCTTGTTTTTCCGTCGGGAGACGTGCGCCCGGGTCGCCTCGCGGGTCTGTGGGGCGCGGACCTCGGTAGTCTGCGGCTGGGACTAATTTTCGAACCGGGCCATTTGCTCTTGGCCAGCGCGAGAAACCCCTCTGCGGGCTTTTTGTTTGGGAGACGTCGCCCCTCTGCCTCAGAGGGTCTCCGTCCTAGCCTGTCTTTTTATTTCTTCTGGTGAGTCGCCCCACACGTGCTGGGCTCACCTTCGTCGAGACTGTCCCTGGTGAGGCTCAGTCCTGGCCGAAAGTGCTTCATTACTCCAGCCCTACGTATCCGCTGGATACTGAACGGATGCACACCCTCCCCTTTATAGAAACTTCCAGGAAAATTGGTATATGTGCATTGTACCTAAGCAGGAAAGAAAGCTCTAAGTATCGCCACCAGATACAAATACGTTTTGTCTTTATAGGTAATGGGTTTCTACTTTATGCATTAACAATTTTTCAAATTCTCTGGAAAGTTCTTAAAGTGCTGCTTAGGAAATGGTGGTCACGACCTAGTCATCTCTGGTGAAGCTTCTTAAATGCATCCGTTCAGCGTTTCGGATGCCTTATATATCACTCAGTTTTCAGTGGTTATCTTTTATTTCCAAAAATAGAATACAAGAAATGCAAATGGCTCTGATTTCTGATTTTTGAACAGTGTTCAACTAAAGCGTGACTTAACTGCACTGAACTTCTAACTTAAAATCAGATGCTTCACGTTCTTAGCGCTGGCGTCCCATCTCCTGTCACTCAAATTCATCACCATTAATGAGACCTTGCTTCCTAATCAGCTTCCTTTGCATTCACCTAGTTGTGAATCACAGATGTCAATTTGTTCTAGCTTGTCGTTTTTTAAGACAATTTATTTTGGAGAGTCGACTACCCTGGATTACAAATGGGATGTAGGAAGTGAGTAGGTGAACCGTCTTTGCAGCCCTCCATCAGTGATTTGCCACCAAGCCCTTTCTTCACCCTAAAAACTGTACGTCATCTGTGAACATCAAGAAATCACTCTTAGGATGCTGTGCAATCTTGAATCCCCTCTTAAGTCATGGTGTTGATTAAGTAGTTGCTGGGAACTTGTGACTGGAATTTTTCCTTTGTAGCAGGCGGAAAGATTGTTACCTGAAAGACCGTTGGAGAGTAGTGTCTGTCTGCTTTTGGGGAGAATGGGGGTATCCAGATGGTAATTTTGAACCAATATTTAAGCTTTTTAACTGGATTTAAAAAAAATGCTAATTATTATTACTTTTTTTTTGGCCAACTTACCTATGTGCAGCGTTGAAGACATTTTCCACAAAGGAAAATCTAGGCCTTTTTTTCCTTAAGTATTAGAAGCTGGGGTACCTTGACAATGGCAGTGAAAAGTTGAAAGGTCTATAACTAGCTGTTATTATATATGAAAAGGCATCAGAGAGTTTAATGATTTTAAAAAAGCAGGTAGAGTGGTTCATTTATTTCTCCATTCAACAAATATTCATTATGTACCTACTAGGCATATGCATTTGCCAGGCTCTGATGGTATGATGGTAGGTAGGCTGGACATGGTTTTTGTCTTCATGGGGTTGGGATGGTAAACATCTAATTATATGCAGTGTTATGTTCAGGTTTCCCTAAGAAAAGTGTTCTGCTTTATTTTTGCTTTCTAGAAGCTAGACGACGGTATTGCTAGGTGTGTATGGGGATTACCGTGTGACTACTTTGCTTGAATAGATACACACAAACATTAAATGAGCTTCTCCAGTATTGCTCAGTATGAAGTAAGCCAAGCATCTTCATATAATCCTTAACAACTTTATGAGGCAGACATGATTTTCCCCATTTCACAAATAAGGACCTTGAGGCTCTGTGTTAGTCAGACTACATACGTGGAAGTTACAGGAACGACTATAACGGATTTATTTTATTTTTAATTATTATTTTTTATTTTTTACATCATTGTTCATTTTTAAACAATCCTTGCTTCCCCCCACCCACTCAGGTGTAGTCCCCATAGAGTTTCCTTCACCAAGGCACCCGTGCACCATCACCTCAGTCCCCTGTGCTCCTCCCTCCCTCCCTCCCTCTGGTCCCTCTCCCTCCTCCTCCCCTGCAGGAAGTCTCTGGTTTATAATTGTCCGTTTTTGCTTTGCTGTGTTTTGTAATGTTAATATTTTTTTACACTGATGTCTTATTTGGTTCCCTATATTCCTGCTCTAAGTGAAACCATCCGATATTTTTCTTTTTCCTTCTGGCTTATTTCACTGAGCATAATTCCTTCTAGTTCATCCATGTTGCTGCGAATGGCAGACTATAACCGATTTAAACAGAAAAATAATTCAGTAGATGGATACTGTGTTTCATAGAAACTCCAGGTGGATTGGCCAGCCATTCCAGGAATAGTAATTAAAATTGTCCCACAAAACTGGTCCAGTGGGGAGGTCATTGCCAGCGAGGACCTAGGGCTTGCTGTTAGGCTTGTATCTTGGGATATTGCTGGCACTGTTGGCCCTGATACTCAGTTCTGCAGCTGTTGCTACTCTGGAATCTTCTTTAGCCCATCTCTTTGGCTTCTGGCGCTGGCTTCAGCTGTCAAGTCTGAGCAGGTGTTCCTAATTGGTAGAGCCTGTTTTGTATGTCTATGTCCTGGCCGCAAGGGTGTCTGGGTAGAACATCTGCTTTTCAGCTCCTGTAGCGGGACAAAGGTTCTGCATCCCATCGAGGCAGGACTTTCACAAACATGTTCAGATGCTGGGCAGCTGACAAGACAGTGGGTCATTGCAGCTCTGAGAGGCTAACTGCTGGTCTCCTCACCCTGTAAGTGGCAGAGCCAGCATGTGCTGCTGCTTCTCCCTAATCTCACTACTCTCCTTCACTCTACACTAAGTCGAACTTACTTTCCACACTGACTTTCTGTTTACTACACCGCTCATGTTCAACCCTGTGTAATTTGACTCGTGTCTTTTCCTCTGTTTGTGCCCCCCCTTTTAAAGATTTATTTATTTATGCATACAAGAGCTGGGGTATAGGCCTGAGATGCGGGGGGTGAGAGGACTCACCAGAGACAGAGTGGGGAATAGAACAGGCAGACTGTCCAAAACACACTGCTGAGGGGAGCAGCGGGCGAGACAGGAGAGGTCTGCCTCGCCATGTGGGTAGCTCCCTGCTGGCCGGGGATCGAACTCGTGCTGCAGAGGTAGTGAATTGCTTCATAGTGCGGTGCTTAACTCCTTGCGCCACCAGGGAGGGCCTGTGACTTCTTATTGGGGCACCGAGTTTATGTGATGGTGCGTGCACCTCCGGTCCCTTTGCTTTCTTTGCCTGTGAGCCCTTTGAGGACAGGCAACTCTGCCTTATTTGAAACTGCCCTATGTACTGGAGAGGGGCGTCTTGCTGCCTGTGGAGTAAGTCCATTGGAAGACCTGAAGATTGGGTCGCGATAATCTATGTGAGTACTCACGGGGGTCTAAGGGAGATGCCGAGGCCAACTTTTCACTCTCACTGGTCATGTTCAGTCATCTGAAACCTTGAAGTTGTAGGCCTATCCTTGATGTTTTGAATCATTTGAGTGACACCCAAGATTTTGTGGCTGTCATCATTAAGTACCTGCACGTCTTAATTTTTGCTTAATGTCTTTCTGAAAACGGATTTAAAAGTCAAATGTAAAAGTCAGACAATAGACTGAGATGTTATAAAGAGAGATTCCATTTCCAGAAAGCTAGAAAAAAATAAGTCTCTAATTATGCTTCACCTTTAAGATAGAGTTTTCAAGTTTATTGCCGGCATTTGGTACATGTTCTTTAAATTGCATCTTCTATTTTAGTCAGACACTTAGTCAAACAGCTTAATGTTGTTATGAACATTCCAGTGGGGTTGGAGCTTTCAGGATGCCTCTTATCAATAGTTCTTCTTTTCTGTGCCTGTTCCTTTTTATAAAGTAATTAGCATCAAATACAATAAAATACTCAGTTTCTACGCCATAGATGGTAATTGTGCTGAGCCTAAAATCATGGCTGGCAGGCAGCTCTGTCTTGCTTGACTTGGTCATTTATCAGCTGGTATGTATATGTACAGTCTTAATTTTGTGGATGAAATATTGTCAGTGTGTGTGTGATTTTATAATCACCAAAAAGATCAGTAATTAAAAAACTGAATGAGCACTGAGACCCTAAGTATTTTTTGATAAAACATTTTAATTTTTGTAATTTTAATCTAAAATACCATAACTAACTTGAGTGAGACCTTGAAATTAGTGTTGGAATGAAGAATCTCCTCTGAACAATGTGTTAAATTCTCCCTTCCCCAATTTATTCCTCCTTTGAAATTTCAGACACTTGATCTGAACCTCTGTTAGGGTATGTATTATTTTTATTTATTTATTTTAAAGATTTATTTTATTTATGCATACAAGAGCTGGGATGTAGGTCAGAGAGGTGCGGGGGGCGGGGGAATGTTGGTGAGAGGATTCACCAGAGACAGAGTGTGGAACAGAACAGGTGGATCTACTTTTTTTTCCCCCCAAAGCTATAAGATTTTTATTCATATATCATTCTACCACTGAAAAAAAGTACTGGACTATAACCCCACCTCAGTATACCGGTCTAATAAAAATTAAAGTATTTCAATTGGTAAAGTCTTTGAGACTTGCTTGAGAAACAAAATTAATGCATGTCAGAACATTAACAAATCCAAACAATTCTGTTACATAAATTAACCCATTTATTATTTGTTGGCAATGGTCCAAATTGTTAATTTCTACTGGTCTTTCAATTCCTTTAGTCTTCTGATGGCAGACTTTACTGTGACGGCAGAAGTAGTGTTGTAGGTCCAGGCACCACCAGCCACCGTTTTCATGCAGGAACCACAGTGCCGGATCCCCACAGTGAGCCTCTTCATCTTGGTTTGGCCACAGAAGGAGCAAGTGTACTTGGTGTGCTGGCTGATTTCAGTCTTCTTCACCATTTTCCTAAGGGAGGCACCATAATGGGTCCCATATTTTCCGACGATCCCCACCTTCTTGTTCGTTTGGCCATGTCGCCATAAGCTAGGTGAACGCCCAGAGAGAGCAGGTGGATCTACTTTTAAAGATTGTTTTAAAGCTAGTTGCTACTTACCCGCCCCCCCCATGTTAGATTGTAAGTCCTGTGAATACAAGAACCATATCTTTCTGTTTTTTTTTTAAATATTTATTTATGCATATAAGAACTGAGGTACAGGCCAGAGGTGTGGGGGGTAAGAGGAGTCACCAGAGACAGAGTGGGGAACAGAACAGGCAGATTGACTGAAATACACTGCTGAAGGGAGCAGTGGGTGAGCAGGAGAGGTCTGCTGCGCCATGTGGGTGGTAACTCCCTGGCTGGGGCTCGAACTCGTGCTGCATAGGCTGTGGACAGCTTCATAGGTTGTGTCTTTTTTTTCCAAAAAAGATTTATTTATTTATACAAGAACCAGGGTACAGACCAGATGCATGGGATGGTAAGAGGATTCATCAGAGATAGAGCGGGGAACAGAACAGGCAGACTGACGAAATACACTGCTGAGGGGAGCAGCGGGTGAGACAGGAGAGGTCCACCCCACCATGTGGGACCCTCGCCAGCCAGCCGGGATCGAACCAGCGCTGCACTCAACCGCCTGCACCACCAGGGGAGGCCCTTCATAGGTTGTGTCATAAGGAGGCCCTCTTTCTGATTTTTGTGTCTCAAGAGTGTCTCTTGGCAAAGGGCAGATACTTCTAACAACCTTTCAGACGTTGGTTAATAGAATACGCATACAAATGAATTGGCCTTTTGTAATTTATCTGTCCTTTTTCCTGCAAAGGTTATGGACTAACACCTGATCTTCCTTCTCCCCCAGGGCTAACAGTTGAATTTGGAATTTTTTTCTTTTTGGAGGAAAAAAATAGTTGCTTTAGTTGGTTAAAATGGCCGTTAGAGCAAATTGCTGAAGTCACAGGAGCTGTAACATTCATCCATGAGCTCCCTGAATTATTTACGTTATAAAAAAGTACCATTTGTATAACATTAAAATTGTGTATTACTATTGGCTGGAAACTTTCTTTGTTTTTGAGGGAAGACAGCTTCATAACATCTCGTGTAAATTTGGCTTTTTCCCCATCTGTTTCAGATTCAGGGAGTTTTTTAGCTTCTCGATCCAGGCGAGAAAAGAAATCAAAGAAAGGGCGTCAGGAAGCTCTTGAAAGACTGAAAAAGGCTAAAGCTGGTGAGAAGTATAAATATGAAGTAAGTAACCATTTTTCTGTTTTCTTCTCCTGTGTCTCTTCTCATTCATACCCTGCAGGTAGTCTTCTGTTACTGATGAGAAATACACAGGTATTTCGAGCTGGTTGCCATACTTTCTAAATATTGAATATGTATGGGCATGAGGTAGATTTATAGATTATGGAGAAAATAGCTTTTTGTTTTCCATATCAAGCTTACTACATTTCTGGTAAGACTCTTGGCCTTGTTGGGTGAACTTACAGATACTTTTACTGTACCGTTAAGGTATCCATCAGTATAGTTAAGCATTACTTCTCCTTGGAGAGAGTTGTTCTTCCCAGTCTCATTTGCACTGGCAACAACAGTGGAGACTCAGACCTTACTTCTGTGGCCTGCCTGTGAGGCTGATGCCCATGGTTTCTGGCCTGTAGGTAGAACAGCGCATTCCTACCCATGGAGTGGTACCATGTCTGGCTTCACCTGCAACTGCCCCCTGAGTATTGTAACTGCCTCAGGGCTTCTATAGGGTGGGATTAGATAATACTTGAAAAAAAAAAACACACAACTAATATACTTTTTAGCTAACACTTTTTTTTAAAGATTTATTTATTTATACATACAAGAGCTGGGGTACAGGCCAGAGGTGTGTGTGGGGGGTGTGAGAGGATTCACCAGAGACAGAGTGGGGAGCAGAACAGGCAGACTAACTGAAATACACTGCGGAGGGGAGCAGCGGGTGAGTCAGGAGAGGTCTGCCGCACCATATGGATTGCTCCCTGGCAGGCCGGGGTATCAAACTTGTGTTGCAGAGGCTGAGGCTGTGGACAGCTTCATAGGTTGCGTCTGAACCCCTTCTGCCACCAGGGAGGCCCTTAGCTAACACTTTCCTATGTGCTTTTACAAATATGTGCGTTTATTGAATCCTTCCAATAACCATATCAAGTTAGATACTATGATTAAAGCATTTCAAAGATAAGCTAACTGAGGTCACAGTGGCAGAGCCTTGACTTGAACTCAGTCTGGCTTCAGAATATACCTGTTTAACTGTGGCCTCTTGTATTGGAGAGCTAAGCAAATACAAGAGGAATTGTGTCACATGGCACCATTCATTCAAGTTAAATGAGTCAACTAGATCATAACATTGCTAAAAGGATTACAGTAGTGCAGGATTAAAGCATTTTAATGCAGGTACTTCTATAATGGCTGTTCTGTGCAGTACTGCAGATGTTGACACAGTGTGACTGATTTCCCTTTAAACACTGATGTTAGTTAATTGTATGGCTCTAAGAATTCATGCTGAGCAGTAGCAATGTTTTTAGAGATAGAGTAAAAAATGACTTTTTACTCAAAATGATTTTTTAAAATAGTTTTCTGGTGTCTTTTTGATAGTATATAAGCAAGTTGCTTCAACAAGGGACAAAGCATGCCTAATAGACTTTACCGAACGATTTCTTCTCCCCGCTCTTCCAAAAGAAAATTGGTCAGTATAGTAATAGTCATTAGACTAGTTTGTATTTGGCTTGCCAAAACTCAATTTGGTGGAGTAGGTAGTTTCCTGTTAGCAAATGGTAATGGGCCAAATCAATATTTGCCAGTGATCCCCATAGAGTAGATTAAATGGGAGGTGAAAACTAAGCCTAATCCTGTAATTATTATGAGCCTAGTAGGTGTGGCAGGAATCCAATCAGCAATGCCCAGTCAGGCTCCCAGGCTCTGTGGCCCGGTGCTTTTCTTAGAGTCTTGGCTCTTCAGGGGTAGTTAGTCTTTTCCTTTTCCCTCCACTGAAAGGGCAGAACTCTAGAGAAAGTGGGAATTTTTTTTTTAAGATTTATTTTTATTTATGCATACAAGAGCTGAGGTACAGGCCAGAGGTTGGGGGGGGGGTGGCGGGGTGAGAGGATTCACCAGAGACAGATTGGGGAGCAGAACAGGCAGATTGACTGAAATACACTGCTGAGGGGAGCAGTGGGCGGCAGGAGAGGTCTGCGCACCATGTGGGACCCTCCTCCGGTGGCCGGGGAGCAGCCGGGGATCAAACCTGCGCCGCAGAGGCCGCGGGCAGCTTCGCAACCCAGCGCTCAACCGCTGCGCCACTGGGGAGGCCCTCCACTTGTTGCTTTAACCATGCTGAGGAAGTCGGCTCAATTCCTGGCACTTGGTCTTGGTGTCCAGCTCTCTGGCAGTCAGGCAGACCTGTGATAGGAAGACTTGTGACTCTGCATGACCCTTCACCATTTAAGTCTGTGCAGTCTCAACCTGAGAATGAAAGGGATCAGTGATAGAGCAAACAGGGCTCCCTCAGAAACCATTCTAGTGTGCCTATAGAATGGATAGTGTGTGTGTTTGCTGCTCTTTTAGGGGAGTAGGTAGAGGAGATTTTCATTTTGAATTATGTGGTTGGTTGAATAGTTATTAAAATTGTCTGTTTGCAGGCCAACATCAGCTGGTGGAGAGGAAGGTGGCATGCCTTACAGGTTTGCTACAGATAGGAGAAACTAGTCTAGAAATTACAAGTGAATAATCCCCAAAGCAGCTAATGAGGAATTGGCTATAATTCAGTTTGTTTTTTTATGAAGTAGATGAGTAATTGATGGTGTGACAAGTGTATTATGCTAATGGAATCATTTAATATCTTATGTTAACACCCACCTAAAAGGAATACTAAGTTAATTGATGTCTATTTAAGGAAAACCCTGTAGTGGTGTTGAATGTCAGAACTCATGATTTGGTTGCAGCTACTCCTTCAGGCTGCCATTCCAATTTTAGTTTGACAATTTTCATCAGAATTGTTTAACACTTTCACTCCATCTAAAGCTTTCTCAAACTCGTGTGATGGCAGGTTGAGGACTTCACAAGCGTTTATGAAGAAGTTGATGAAGAACAGTATTCGAAGCTGGTACAGGCACGCCAGGATGATGACTGGATTGTGGATGATGGTATGTGGGGAGAGATCGCCTGCCAGGCACTGTGCTAGTTGCTTGACAGCAATTCTCATGGGATGGAGTTGCAGATTTGCCCTGTCAGTTGCAAAGTCCTTTTGAGGTCATACCTTTGGTTTGGATATTCCTCAAAACCTTCCTTGAGAGTGCAGGAGCGAACAATAGAAAGTTTTTTGGGAGACTCCAGTATATACCTCAGAATATCATATAAATTCTCTACGAAATCAAAGGGGTCATGTCCCTTTGGGGTATGTGTAATGTGGGGACAAGAAAACTACCTGCCTCCCAGAATGGCCATGAGGGTTCTGCAAGTCTATACTGGTGAAGAGTAACTTGGGCAGTGGAAAGCCCTGTGCACAGGCTTGGCCTCATGTCTCTCACCCCTTGTGGGAAACTTGCTGGACCCTGCTTATGGGGTATGTGAATGCTGGCCACAGGGAGAGGGTATAGATGGTGCCCATGACTGTATGTTTCTGCTTCTGTAATTGGATTCGGCTGTATTGCCAGTTCTCCCTCATAGACTGAAGTGCTTTTCTGGGCTGCTGGTGATCTTGATTCTTTCACTTTTAATCTGTAGAGTAGAGATTGTAGAGTAAAACTGTTGTAGAGTAAAACTGTTGTAAAGCTTCTGTTCTGTCAAACCTTGATTCTGTGGGTCAAATTATTTCCCCAGCTCATCCAGGTAGGTATAATGTATATCTTTCGGTTTTGACTCAGACTACCTTGTGGATGCTGTGTTTCACTTGATATGGCATCTGAAAAGAATTCTGCTACACTTAAAAATGGCAGAGGTCAGGAGAACATCTGAGTGGGTATAAAAGGTTTTTAGTGTCATGGCTAAAATATTATTGGTCACTTTTAGAAAGTTGATCCCAATGTTATATTTTGTTCTTGCAGATGGTATCGGCTATGTGGAGGATGGCCGAGAAATTTTTGATGATGACCTTGAAGATGATGCCCTTGAGAAAGGTACCTACATTTTGTCTTCCAGAGAGTGCTGTTTTGAGATTTGAAGGATTATCTGACATTTGAGATGACTTTGTACTTTGACATAGGACCTACCAAATTGTTTTTAGGTGTAAAATATGTTTTGAAGTTGAGAGAAGCATAGTATTGTAGAAAATTAAATGTATAAAGCAAAACCAACACCAGGAAATGGAAGTTTCATGTCTCTGTTAGCTAAAGAGTTTGACCTTTTACTTATTTTGAAAATTTCAGTCTATATAGTCATTTAGACTTGCTGATTTTGAGGGCTACAACAAGTAATGGCTTTTAATTTCTCCTGAAGTGATGTACTTAGAATTTTAACTCTTTGGTAATAGTATAGTACAATAACAAGGTTTAGAACTTAATCAACTTGCTTTGTTTAATTGAAATTGAAGATGATATGAATGAATGTGTCAAGATTTTCTTAGCTATAGATCAATGGCAGAAATTTTTTTTTTTTGAGTAAACAAGCCTGTGATTTAGCTCCTGTAAAATGAGAAGGGAAGATTCTCTTCAGTATTTTTTTTTATGGTTTAGTTTGGACTGAACACCACGTGGTATATTATGGGTCACCAACTATGGCCCACTTATGGATGGTTTTTTTTTTTAAAGTGTTACTGAGATAAAATTCATAGGCCTTACAATTCTGCCATGTAAAGTGCGTATTTCAACAGTGTTCCATATAGTCAGCATCACCACAATCACTCTCATTCCCATTACCCCAGAAAGCAATCATGCCTCTATTTATGTGGCCCTTGAGCTAAGAATGGTTATTATATTTTAAAAGGGTTTTTTTGGTGTGTGCTGTGTTTTTTTAAAGAAAAAAGTGAAGAACATGCAACTATGTGAGTGAGAGGTGTGACCACAAAGCCTAAAATCTGTGCCATCTTGCCCTTTTTAAACTGTTAGCATTTTATAACATCTGTTTTCTTTTTCCCTCTTCCTCTTCTCCCACCACATACACAGAGGCTGTTTTTTAGACACCATGACACTTCACCTTTGTGTGCTTCAGCAATGACCTAAGGACAAGGACACTTGTCTACTTAACTAAATTTCCTTTCTCAAGATACTGTCTATCTAGGGCCTCCCTGGTGGCGCAAGAGGTTGAGCACCGCATTGTGAGGCACACCTGCAGCCTCTGCAGCACGAGTTCAATACCCAGTCGGCCAGGGAGTAACCCACATGGCGCAGCAGACCTCTCCTGTCTTGCCTGCTGCTCCCCTCAACAGTGTATTTCAGTCTGCCTGTTCTGCTCCCCACTCTGTCTCTGGTGACTCCTCTCACCCCCCTCATCTCTGGCCTGTACCCCAGCTCTTGTATGCATAAATAAATCTTTAAAAAAAAAAAGATACTCTCTATCTAATATATTGTCCATATTAAGATTTCTGCCGTTAGCCTGGTAATGTTGTTTTATTTTTTAAGATTTATTTATTTATGCATACAAGAACTGGAGTACAGGCCAGAGGTGTGGGAGGTGAGATGATTCACCAGAGACAGAGTGGGGAGCAGAACAGGCAGATTGGCTAAAATACACTGCTGAGGGGATCAGTGGGCGAGTCAGGAGAGGTCTGCTGTGCCATGTGGGTAGCTCCCTGGCCGGGGATTGAACTCTTGCTGCAGTGGCTGCGGTTAGCTTCATAGGTTGAGTCTTAACCCATTGCGCCAGCCTGGTAATGTTTTTTATAGTTTTTTGAAGAAAGGCAGAGTCCACTTTTGTTTTCCTGTCTTCTTCAGTCTTACTTCCTCCTTACCTCCCCCTACAACCCAATTTTGGTCTCTTATGACCATCACCATTTTTATAGGGACCAGGTTGGTCGCTTTGTTGAATGTCCCTTGTTCTGGGATTTGCTTGATTGCTTATTAGTGTTTAAAGTCATGTTAAAATTTTTGGTAAAAGTACAATGTAGATGAGAATGTGTCCCCTCAGGGACACATAATGTCCGTTTGCCCAATTATTGGTGATACTAAGTTTGATCTTTTGGCTGAGATGTTTTTCAGGGCTCTTCCTTGTAAAGCTGCTTTTCCTCTGTTGTAATTAATGCCCTTGTGGGTTGATAACTTGAGACCAGGTGTATATTTCCCCACCAGTTTTCATCTAATGCTTTCAGTATTTATTACTGACCCTGTCTCTTCTTTTAAAAATACTCATTTAAAGCTGATGGTTTTGGGCCTCGCTGGTGGCACAGCGGTTGAGCGCTGGGTTGCGAAGCTGCCTGTAGCCTCTGCAGCACCGGTTCGATCCCCGGCTGCTCCCCGGCCACCGGAGGCGGGTCCCACATGGCGCGCAGACCTCTCCTGCTGCCCGCTGCTCCCCTCAGCAGTGTACTTCGGTCTTTCTGCCTGCTCTGCTCCCCGCTCTGGTTCTGGTGAATTCTCTCACCCTCCCATGCTTCTGACTGTACCTAGTGCTTGTATAAATAAATAAATAAATCTTTAAAAAAAAATAAAGTTGATGGTTTTAAACAAAATTTTTACAGTGCAGGCAGTATTCATTAAAGCCCCCTTAAGAAATCTTCCTTGCTGTGTAAACTTCTGTTCATTTTCTCTTCCGGTGCTCTGTGATAGAACTTGAATTTTGTATTCTAAACATTTTGACCATTATTTATACTTTGTTTCCAAACTGTTCAAAATGAGTTCAATCAAAAATGGTTTGTTTTTTTCACAAATGTCCTACAGACCTTTTCACAGTCATAGGCACATGAAAAATGCCTTTTTTTGGTAGTAAAATACACACCGTAAAATTTATTATTAGTGATGTTAAGTACATTAACAGTGTTTGCAACCATGGCAGTTATCTAATTCTAGAACATTTATCACCCCAAATGGAAACTTATACCAATTAAAAGGTCATCTCCCAGTCTTCTTTTCCCTAATACTGTCAACTACTAATCTGCTTTCTGTCTCTGAGTTTGCCTGTTTTGAATACTTCATATGTGTGCAGTCATACAATATGTGACCATTGGTGTCTGTCTTTCATTTAGCATAGTGTTTTCAATGTTCATTTATGTGGTGGCATGTGTTAGCACTTCATTTTTATATCTGAATAATATTCCATTATGTGGATAGACCACATTTTGTTTGTTCATTCATCAATTGATGAACATATGAGTTGTTTTCATTTTTTGGCTACCCTGGACATTCATGTACAAATTTTTGTTTGGGGCCTCCCTGGTGCACAGTGGGTTGAGCGCAGTGCTGTGAAGCTGTCCACAGCCTCTGCAGCACGGGTTCGATTCCCAGCTGTCCAGGGAGATACCTACATGGCATGACAGACCTCTCCTGTCACAACCGCTGCTCCCCTCAGCAGTGTTTTCGGTCGTCTTCCTGTTCTGTTCCTCTCTCTGTCTCTGGTGAATTCTCTCACCCTCCTGCGTCTCTGGACTGTACCCCAATTCTTGTATAAATAAAAATAAAATCTTTAAAAAAATTTTTTTGTTTGAAGCACCTGTTTTTAGTTCTTATGCCAGTGAGTGGAATTATTGTTTTCTTCTTTCATACCAAAAAAAATTTTCTATAGATACTTTTTAAAAAAAGATTTATTTATTTATTTATTTATTTATACAAGCACTGGGTACAGTCAGAAGCACGGGAGGGTGAGAGAATTCACCAGAGCCAGAGTGGGGAGCAGAGCAGGCAGAAGGACCGAAGTACGCTGCTGAGGGGAGTAGCGGGCGCCAGGAGAGGTCTGCGCGCCATGTGGGACCCTCCTCCTGTGGCCGGGGAGCAGCCGGGGATTGAACCAGCGCTGCAGAGGCTGCAGGCAGCTTCGCAACCCAACGCTCAACCGCTGCGCCATCGGGGAGGCCCCTGGTTATCTTCTTTATAACTTTAAAAATGTACTTTTTTTAAAAAAAAATTTCCCTCAGTGATATGAGATGCCACCTTTATTTTATGTTAACTTTCCTTAAGTAATTGGTTCTTTTTCTGCATTCTGTCTTATTTCATCTGGTCTGTGTATTCCTGTGCCACTACCACACTATTTCTTATCTGTTCATTGTAGGTCTCTTTGAGGTTGATTCATCTGGGTTGAAGGAGAAAGCGAGAATAAAATTGACAGTATTAGTAAAGTTCATAGGTGGTTTACACATGGCCATAAAAGAAAACATAGGACACAAGTTGGTTTCTGCCTTTTAGTGTTGCTACCACATATTGCATGTGTCTAGTTACTGTTCTTAAAATGGAAATTAGGATGCTACATAATATAACTAGTAATCTCATTTCTTCATTGTTCAGGTTCCCTGTCAAATCCCGTCTTTTATACTAATTCTCTGGTTCCAGATGATCTCGATCTTTTAATTTCTTTGGTTATAAAAACTTAAAATTTTTGTCTTATTTATTTGGTAATAACTCAAGTGTAATATCAAAATAAGGAAATTGAACCAATATAACACTGTTAACTAGACTACAGATCTTGTTCACTTTTCGTGTGCATTTTGTGTTTGTATGTGTAGTTCTATGCAATTTGATCCCACATACCATTTATGTAGCATTTTATCACACATAATGTACACATATTGTTAGAAGATGTTCTCTTGTGCTATCATCTTATTTTAACACAACCTACTTCATTCCTGTCCTTTGGAAACTACTACTGTTTACTAGTTCTATATTTTTGTCACTTTAAGGATGCTGTTATGTAAGTAGAATTATGTAGTATGTAAGATTTTGAGGTTGACTTTACACTGAACACAGTAGCCTTGATATCCATCCAGATTGTTGCATGTACCAATAATTTATTCTGTAATTTTTGGTAATTGTTTGAATTAAAAATTTTAAATTTATTTCAAAGTTCATGTCTATTCCCTTCCCATGCTTTTACTCCATTCACCTTACCCTCCGTATTTCTTGTAGTTGTTGCTCAGCCATTTTGCTCTAGTCTTACAGTAGTTTTGATTCATCACTTTTCTTTGTACTTTGATTCTTCCTTTTGAAGTTGTTTTTCATCTTATTGAAGTTTATCTTTTAGAAATTCCTTTAGTAAGGATGTTGGTGATAAACTCAGTTTTCATCAGAGTTGTCTATATTGTCTATGTGTCGGTCACCTCATTGGAAAACAGTTCTGCTGGGTATATAACTTCAGATGGATATTTATTTTCCTTCAGCAGCTTAAATACATTGCTTCCTCTCTTGTGGCTTCTATTTTGCTCTTGGCACTTACACTATCAGTCTAATTTTGTTCTTTGTTGGATTATCAGTTTTTCCTCTCTAAGCCACTGTTTTTGATGTTTTGCAGTTTTATTACTATGTGTCTGATAGCGGGTTTTTTTTTATTTTTTCATTCCAGAAATTTGTCTTTTCAGGGAACAAGCTTTCAAGTTTGATAATCTGTTGTTTCTTCATTCTGTTGCGTTGTTATTCTGCTCCTGAATTTTTCATTCCTGAATTTTCAGCTTTTATTTATTTATTTTTAAAAGAGGCATGTATTTTTATTCATTTATTTATTTGTTTGTTTGTTTGTTCATACATGCACTGGGTACAGTCAGAAGCGTGGGAGGGTGAGAGAATTCACCAGAGCCAGAGCGGAAAGCAGAGCAGGCAGAAAGACCGAAGTACACTGCTGAGGGGAGCAGCGGGCAGCAGGAGAGGTCTGCGCGCCATGTGGGACCCTCCTCCGGTGGCCGGGGAGCAGCTGGGGATCGAACCGGCGCCGCAGAGGCTGCGGGCAGCTTCGCAACCCAGCGCTCAACCGCTGTGCCACCGGGGAGGCCCTCAGTTTTTATTTTTAAGACTAAAAATTACCCATGAATTGCTTCTTCAGCTATATATAGTTGTAATGTGTACTATTAACATTCCATTTTTAATATTGTGCAATTTCCATTGTACTTTCCCATTTTTTCTTTTTACCATTTGTTCCTTGTCACTTATTTCTCCCACTACTCACCTCTGGCAAACCACCAGTCTTGTCTATTGATGAGCTTTGGTTTTTTTCTTTGTTTCTTTTATATTGATTCCACATGTAAGAGATCATACTGCATTTGTCTTTATCTGTCTTATTACACTTAGCATAATGCCCTCAAGGTCCATCCATGCTGCTGCAAAGGGCAGCATTTCATTCTTTTTTATGGTTGAGTAATATTCCCCCCCCCCACAATTTCTTCATTCATTCATTGATGGACATGTAGGTTGTTTCTATATCTTGGCTAAAAAGCCTTTAATAGCTTTGAAAGCTTTCTTTTTACACTAACAACAGCAATTAAATAATCATACTTAATAATTCATCCTCATATTTAATTGGCATTTCATCAGTTTTTGTAATAGCATTTAGTTACCTTTTCCTGAATTCAACTTGTTTTAAAGATTCTGTCATATGTACCTTCTATAAAAATACGGTATTTTTGTATTTAGAGTTGTGTTTTTCTTCTCAAACTCTCATACACAGAGGGCAGGTGACTAGGTTTTAATTCTGTTTCCATTTTTGCTGGTGCACATTTCTAAATTTATATTTCAATAGGAAAAGGTGATAAAGTACGCAACAAAGACAAGAGGAGTGTAAAAAAGGCTGCAGTGACAAAACCAAACAATATCAAGTCAATGTTCATTGCTAGTGCTGGGAAGAAAACCGCAGATGTGAGTTTCATGGTTTTCTTATATTTTGTCTTTTTCTTTGTGAAGAGAATTTGATTATATAGATAACAGTGTGCAGTATACGTGAGCTCAGATTTATGGGTATTTTCCCAATTTCAGTCACTAAGTTACTCGTATAGTAAGGTGAATGGAACTTGGGAGCCAGAAAACAAAATTGAACAGAAAAGCTGAACTGTCAGTGTGTTTAATTTCAGTCATTAGCAGGAGGATCATGGAATCAAAATGAAAGTAGAGAATGGGAGCTCTAGTTGAGGAGTTATATCTACACAGCCGGTTGTTAAGGTCTGTGAATTGTCGATGAGCACTCAGTGAAGAATGAAGAGTCAAGGGCTGACTGGCTAGATTCTTCCTTCACACACATATGGTCTAGGTGAAAATGTGAAATGCGGGGCTTTCTCATTCTACTTCCCTTTATAATTTCTAGAAAGCTGTAGACTTGTCCAAGGATGATCTGCTAGGTGACATTCTACAGGATCTGAACACTGAGGTAAGTGAATCTCTAGGTGTTGTAAAATATATGGGGACATAGACTGCAAAACAATTTGGTGATTACACAAAACAGACTATGGCTAGAGTTAAAAAAAAAATGCAGGGCCTCCCTGATGGTGCAGACTGTTGAGTGCCGCAATGTGAAGCTGTCCGCAGCCTCTGCATCACGGGTTTCATTCCGGCCCCCTGGCGAGAATCCCACATGGTGAAGCAGACCTCTCCTGTCTCCCCCACTGCTCCCCTCAACAGTGTATTTCGTCAGTCTGCCTGTTCTGTTCCCCGCTCTGTCTCTGGTGAATTCTCTCACCCTCCGGCGCATCTGGCCTGTACCCCGGTTCTTGTATAAAAATAAATAAATCTTAAAAAAAATATTTTAAAAAATGCAATGACAACACCCCCTCCACCCCATTAAATTATTTTTTTCTGACTATTTTAGGTGAGTAGTTTCCAGCTGTTATAAACTATGTAATTATGTAGATAGTGCTTCTTGGGGCCTGTTACAAGTGTAAGAGTGCATACACACACACACACAAAATACAAATCGGTACTGGCAATGCACACTGCTTTTGCTCACATGCTGTAGTGTATGTTCCCTAAATAGATTGAAGCCTGTCGATCTGCACAATCAGGCGTGAAAATCTTCATCTTGAATTCCTAGTGGGGGTGAAAGAAGAGTTAATGAACTGTCCCTGATAGAACTCAGACAGGCTCGGTTGCACTGGGAGTTTGCAATTTGGCTGTTTCACATAAGGACTAAACTTGTGTAGAGGTGTGCTGCTTTCAGAGTGACCCTTGATTAAAATGAGTAACACCAACACCATGTGCTTCTAGCTTAACAGTTTTAAAATGTAATATTCTGGAAGGGTAAGAGAAAGTATATTAAGTTTTAAAAAGAAAATTTGGTGTGGGTTGGATTCAATATCCTGGTTTTCTAGTGAGTCTGTAGAATTGTTGCTATAGTAACTGCAGTGCATGAACATAGCTTTGTGGGGGGAGCAGGAAAAGAAAAAGATGCTTTGCTTATTGGACGTCCATGGGTGAAGAAATGTCCTCTTTTTATCTTTTGGTAAACCACGTATGGCAGCGAATGTCTGTCTTGCCCTTTCTTTTAGACACCTCATGTAACTCCACTACCTGTACTGATACCGAAGAAAAAAAGGTCCATGGGAACCTCACTGAATCCTTTCTCTGTGCAAACCCCCAAGGTAAAATGTGTGGAAGTTCCTTCAATCTTGATTTATATTACTGCTGAAAAATTGTTTTGTTGCTTTTCTGTGTGAAGGAAATACCTTTGAATTTGTGGTTGGTTTTTGTTTTAGATTAAGACTCCCGTTTCATTATATAGTTTCATGCATTTCAAAAATAGCATATGCCTGTGTTTTTCATAGTAAATTTTGTAGTAACTAGTATGTGTTTATTATAGGTATTACAACTGTGCTAAATGCAATAATTTTCCTCCTGGAAACAAGTATTTTTTTGTAAACCTAGGTAACAGTAAAATAATTGAAGCTGTTATATTAATAATACACAAAAGCATTTTATAAATGGGAGCTGTCATTATCTCTGGTCAGGGTAGGACAGTTGTACATTTTTAGTATGCAGGTCTGACTAAACATTAAAAAACATTTACAGGCAGTTCCTTCAGGAAAAACTGCTTCCCCTGTCTCAAGAATGGAGCCTCCATTAACTGCCGTTCCTCTTAAACGTGCTGAATCTTCTGGTAAGTCTGATATTAGGCAGAAGTGCGAGGGTGGTTGCTGAGCAGTTTAAATTGCTGTTGAAAATGGAGGCCTTGTGAATGAAGAAGAGGAGGTGCTTGTGAAGGTATTGTGATAGCAAGATGAAGTGTGAAAGATTTGAATTCATAGCAGTAAAAGTTAAAAACATCTAATTTGGCCATTGAAGAGAAATGCCGATGAATGTGGGAAAGGGATAGGCTGTTCCCGCAGCCTCCATGTGCTCCATGGCCACAGGCCATGATGGGCACGTGTGATGCCTTCAGGGGAGCCTGTGCCGGCTTTGTGTACAGATGACAAGGAGTCGGGGGCAATGGATTTTGAAGATGGTGACTTTGATGAGCCCATGGAAGCTGAGGAGGTGGACGTGGAGCCTGTGGCTACCAAGACTTGGAACCAAGAGAGTGAGCCAGCAGAGGGGTTGAAACACGAGGCGGATCCTGGGCAAGGGAGCACGTCCTACTCGTAAGAGCACTTTATGACTTTTCTGGCAAGTAGAGCTACAATTATTCTGTGGGATTTTGAAAGGTTTTTAAAAACGTCTTTTGCAGAGGAGATTTTCTCCCAGATGTCTCTTGTTGGGATATTGATCAGGAAGATGCCAGCAGTTTTTCAGCCCAGGAAGTTCAGGTGGATTCCAATCACCTCCCACTGGTTAAAGGGGCAGATGAGGAACAGGTGTTTCAGTTTTACTGGCTGGATGCTTATGAAGATCAGTACAGCCAACCAGGTAATCATCCCTACGGTGTAACTGTATGTCTTTCATACAGAACAGTGGCTTACCCTTAAATGCTTTTGTGATTGTAATGGGCATAGGCTCTGCCCTAACATATGTACATAGCAAGAGAGTCACACATTGTAAAGTGCATGAGCCACTGGTTGGAGAGGAGTTGTGATGTGAATAATCCTTCAAGATGCTTATTCTGAAAAACGGTTATGTACTTTTGGAGTGTGTGCTTGTAGTTCACCATCTATGTATCTCTCGTTACTGGAATGTGCTTGATTGTAATGAAGTCAGTCATTCATTTGTTCCTTTGTTCAGCTAATTGAGTGTGTGTTGTGGGCCAGAAACTGAAATGGGGTGAATGAGTTAAACAAATTCCTTATACTAATGCCGCTTATGTTCTAGTGGGCAGGAGGAGGGGGAAAGCCAATAAATATGGTAAGTTGATAAAGGGTGTTAAACAACTAGTTGACAGTCCTCCCTGGTGGCACGCATGGTTACGTCTCAACACTATGAAGCTATCAGCAGCCACTGCAGCACGAGTTCGATCCCTGGCCAGGGAGATACCCACGTGGCATGGCAGACCTCTCCTGACTCGCTTGCTGCTCCCCTCAGCAATGTATTTCAGTAGATCTGCCTGTTCAGTTCCCTACTCTGTCTCTGGTGAATCCTCTCACCGCCCCCCACCTCTCTGGCCTGTACCCCAGCTCTTATATGCATAAATAAATAAACCTTTAAAAAATAAAAAATAAAAAATAATAAACAACTAGTGGACTGATGGGCAGGCCTGTTGAGGAGACCACTGTTGGACTGAGATTTGAGGTATGTGCAGAGCTCAGGAAAGAGCATTTCAGCCTAGGACACCAGTAAGCAGAGAAGCCTGGAGCAAGAAAGAGGCTTGTGCAATTGTAGCGTAATCAAGTGATGAGATTAGTAGCAAATGAAGTTGGAGATAAAATGCAAAGGCCAGATCATGAAGGACCTTGTAAACCATGTTAAGGCTTAAATCTTATTCTAAAAGCAATGGGGAGGCTGTGGAGGATTTTCAGTGTGTGGGAGCTATGGTCCAGAGAAGTAGGGAAACCCTGGACGTATGTCCATCCAGGAACTTGGACGGGTGGCTGCTGTGGCAGTGGAGAGAAGTGAATGCATTTAGCATGTATTTGATATGAGTTTGTTGATGGATTGATGTGGGGGTTGAAAGAAAGGAATTGGGTGTTTCCCATGGCCTCCAAATGAGCCAATACTGTGATTCTTAAAAGGCCAGGAGACTCTCCATTTTCCTTTTGTATTGCTGGGACCCCTTTCCTTGGGGCTGGATCTGTAGGATTAATACAAAATACTGTGTACACCATGAAAAAGAATTGCCTTTATTCAGATTCTTTTCTGGACCTGAGGGTAGAGGCAAACTTTTTCAAAGTGGTTTCCCAGAGACTACATCTGATGAAAATGGAGTATCTAGATGTCAGTAAAGCTGATGAATAAGTAGGCAGAGTAGGTATTAACTCTTGGACTTGAAGGCCAGATTTACCTTAAGGATAATGAGGCATTGACTGTAACTGGAAAGATATTAACGGTCTCTCAGAGGGGAGGGAAAATACTTAATATGCTTCAGCTTATCAAATACCTAGAAACTCTTGCATGGCCACTTGAAGCATGTTGCCATGTGTTAGTTTCTTAAGAAAAGACATAAACAGTCTTGAAAGGTATCTTACCTACTTCAGCTAGGGCAAGGTAGTTTGGTTAGACCCTCTGTCCTCTTTGACTACCTTTGTTAACTTGCTGTTGGAGGGTGGGCTCGCATGTGGGATTACAGGAATCTGAGCTAATTATTTCTCATCTGCGGCCAAAAGGCAGCCTCAGGGGACACCTGCCTCAGAGGACGCCTAGTGGGCTCGCTGGAGTTGTGGGACATGGTGGGCCTGCCCAGCCCAATGCTGCACCTGTACTTTGCTGTGCCTGCTGGCGGCTGGATTTGTTTCCCATCAAAAACAGACACGTGGGAGCTAACCTTGATTTCCCCCATTTTCCTTGCTTCTCCCCCCAACTCTTGTTTTCTCCTAAAGTACATAAACTGTCTTTTCTCTCTCCTCACAACTCCCACTCCTCAGCCCTTCTTGCTGACCAAAACCACTGCAGCAACCATTGCTGCCAGAGTCACATCATTCCCTCCTTAAGAACAAATCCAAAGAGGCCACTGCCTACCACACAAATCTGAGTTCCTTGCCATATTTCTGATGCCTGCCATGTATGAGTTTTGTGCTTCAGAAAATTTCTGGTATTTCTGCTGTTCTTTACTCCATGTCTCTTTTCTCATCATGTTAGGTCTGATGGACAATGCTCATCTCATGTATCATCTCTTGGAAGTTTTCCTAATCTTCCACACTGGCCTGAGAGCCCTTTCTGCGACCTCATCATACCTTTTCCCATCACAATATAAGTCATTATTTTGAAAAGATCTGATTTCATGGATTTCTTTCTCCCAAATCCTATAAACTCACAGAGGACTGAGACCTTTTATTTCCAGCATCCAGCATGATGCCAGACACTTAGTAGGTGTTCAGTCAATGTTGAAATGAAGTGCAATAGTCAGCAGTCCTATAGTTGTACCTGAAAGGTTCAGAGAACCAGAGTTGCATTGGCTGCTATTGCTCAGTTTGCTTCTTGAAGCCTTGTACAGTGTGGGGAACAGTGGGGAGCACAAGTCAACGGTACCTCCATAAAGCACCAGATTGAAGTGTCAGCTGCCAAGTATTAGAACCATAAGAAACAACAATCTTCTACTTCTTGTGTGAAGATGAAGTTTTTATTCTTAACCTTTTGCAGGACCTGGATCCAGAGCTGCACTGTCATCTGTGATGGTCACTGGCCAATTGTAGCTCTTTACATTTACATTTAAATTAATTAGAATGAAACAAAGTAAAAATTCAGCATTGGCCACTAGCCACCTATGACTATTAGCTACTATATCCATGGATGGCACAGACAAGAGGACAGTTCCTTATTTGCAGAAATTTCTGTTGGCTAGTGCTGCTGTCTGGTAATGGTGTTGGAGGTTAAGATTGAGTCATTGAAGTATAGCTGTACTGGCAAAGCAATCTATTTATATGAATTGTTGAATTCCTGGTACTAGCCATAGCCATGATAGGCCTTTTCAGCCAGTCTTGGAGGATATTTTGCAATTGAAAGGTAGCAGTCTGTTCTCTAGGTTCTAAGATAAAAGGAAATTTCTATTGTTGAAGAAGGCCTCAGAGACCATCTAGTCTAGCCAGTGACTTTTAGAGGAGGAAGCTGAGACTCCAAAGGGCAGAGTGATGGGCTTCTCACCCCCAGTCCACTGGGCTGCTCTGTGGTGCTACTCAAGTTGTGTCCTCTGTGATTGATGCCAATGGGTTAAATAAGATGACTTAAAAAAAAAAGTCCTTTAATTTCAGAGGGTTGAACTGTTTCATCATGATAGCAGGTAATGATCACTGAGCCTTGGTGAAATCAATGCTGCTAATAAAACCAAAGTACTCCCATAGACCCCGTCATTGTTTCTCACTTTCTTACAGATTCTGAGTAAGTCAGTTGTTGCTGAATGCTCCATAATTATGAAAAGAATCTTACTCTTTGCATATGGGAAGATATCCTGTCTTCATTATGACTTTTTCAAGGTTGAATAATCCTGACTGCACCTGGTTTCAGCTAGTAACTTTGGGGGGAATGTAATCTTTGTTTACCATGATCTTTTTGTGGCAAATGAGGCATAAACAGTGTCAAATGCGTTGCATGAAGAGTGATATTAGTTTGACTGTAAAATGAGCTATTTGAATCTTTGAATCCAATATTAGGGTCTTTATTTTTCTTTGCATGGAATTTTGTTTTTTTCGTCTGTAACTGTTGTGAGGATGACTTTTAATTTTCTGAGCTACTGTGATTTTTTTCTTTTTTAATCATCCCCACAGTCCTCCCTTCCCTCTCCCCATCTCCTCCGCCTCTTTCCCCCCAGCTGAAAATCACACAACTCTTGTAAGAATTTTAATCATCTGCAGAAATGAAAATTTTTGATGGTCTTATTTCTACTACGATGAGTGACAAAAGGAAGCACTGATGAGCTGTCTTGTGAAACTGGAATAAATGGCCTTGTGAACAGTAGCCTTTACATGTGCTGGCATTTTCTTAGTGTCTTACATCAATAACTGTTGAGTGACTATGTTGATTACTGCTGTGTAATTATTCATGGGGCCCAGAATTTTGCACAGTGACCATTCCTTGGGTTGACTATCAAATCCTTGGGGTCCTTTCTTTTTTTTTTTAATTTTTTAAATTTTTTTTTAAAAGATTTGTTTATTTGTCCATACAAGAGCTGGGGTACAGGTCAGACTTGTGAGGGGGCAGGGGTGAGAGGATTCACCAGAGTGGGGAAAAGAACAGGCAGACTGATGAAATACACTGTTGACGGGAGCAGTGGGCGCAACAGGAGAGGTCTGCTGTGCCATGTGGGACCCTCGCCGGCCGGCCGGAATTGAACTAGCGCTGCAGAGGCTGCGGACAGCTTCACAGCGCAGTGCTCAACTACCTGCGCCACCAGAGGAGGCCCTAAAGGATTTATTTTTTATTATGCGCATAAGAACTGGGGCATAGGCCAGAGGTGCGGTGGTGGGAAGGGGTGGTGAGAGGATTCACCAGAAACAGAGTGGGGCGCAGAAGAGGTGGATCTACTGAAATAAACACTGATGTGAGGGGAGCAGTGAGCAAGACAGGAGAGGTCTGCTGCGCTATGTGGTTCAGCTCACTGGCCAGGGATCGAACTTACACCACAGTGGCTGGTGATTGCTTGACAGCACTGAGACTTTAACCTCTGCACCACCAGGGAGGCCCGAGAAAGACTTGTTTTTATTTGTAGTATACATTACTTAGGGATCGCAAAAGGACTGTCTCTGCTGACTTGGTTGCTAGACCATTTGTTAAACTGAAATAGAAGAAAAGGAAACATTACAAACATTACCTAGCCAGATGTTTTAAGGAGCCTTTTAGGTAGAAAGGGTGAAATAGGAGATAATAGTTGAACCCTATTATGAGATATTTTTTATTATATGGGATGAGGTATATGAGATGAATTGTTTTTCTCAGGCACTGTTTTACATGTAGAAAAATACTGGTGCACCATACATAGCTTCCCTTATATGTGAATATTAGTTTTTATGAATAAATACAAGTGGGTAAAAAGGAATTTAGTATTCTCAGGTTTGTAGGTTCTCACAGGAGCTTTAAATCTGAGATTGGGGGAAATGGTTAGTGCTTTTTGTTTTTCCTCTTGTGTGTAATCCTAGTTATAGGGAATTTTTTTTTCTGCACTGATTTCTAAGTGGTGCCTCCAGTGACCTGGGATGTCTCTTAATTCTAGCGAAGATGTAGAGATAATAAAAAATAAATCACTCCAAGGTAGAGAATCATCTGTCCAAAGTGGTATTGTTGGATGGCATGGGTGCTGTGGAAAGGAACTGGTCTTGGGAGAATGGGCAGCAGATACAAATTTGTTGTAAAAACAAATGAATATTTGTGTCCACATAAATATGTGTCCACATTCAGTGATCCGCTATCTTGCCCCCTGCCTTGTGACATAATTGAAGTGTTTCCCTTCTCATGTTTTTCTCTTATTTTAGGTGTGGTATTTCTGTTTGGCAAAGTTTGGATTGAATCAGCCAAAACCCATGTGAGCTGTTGTGTCTTGGTGAAAAACATCGAGCGAACACTGTATTTCCTTCCCCGGGAAACGGTAAATATCGGTGATGAGCTTCTGGTACCCAGTACTTGTCAGGGGCGCATATCCCATGTCCTGCCGCCAATCCTACCCTGCAGCAAGGCTGTGGATTATCTACAACCTCCAGGCCTTCTTGTCTAGGCTGCCTGCCTGGTGACCCTGGTAGTCAACAGCTTCGTGAGAACTTGGGAAAAGTAGAGAAATGCTTTTTTTTTGTTAGAGTGTAAAACGTCTAAGTTCTAGTATGTATGCAACGCTTGCTTCCCCCATCCCTCATTTCCATGTGACACCATCGTGGGCAGTTTTCACACTTTGGCTGTTCGGACATCAGTGTATCATTCCCCCCATAGCCATTTAACATGGTCAGTTCCGTTTGCTTCTCCTTAAAATCTACACTCACCTTTCAAACCCAATCCCTCCCCATCTCAGCTGAATTGTGGAGCTTCTTGGTCAGGATTTTTACATTCTCCCCTTTTCTAGAATCAATCATCTTTATCTCTGACTGCTTCTATGATGCTGCTGAGAGGAATTGGGCATTGGGTTTACTACATTTTGGGGTCTGTATCTGAGTTCGCTTGTAAAACTGTTCTATTAAATGTTTATATGAGTGAGGATGAAAATTGATGTAGACTTGGCTGCCTGGTGTTTCAGAAGATCTTACACACAAATTCTTTTTTCCCCTTCCCTTCCCTCTCTATGGGAGAGCAGAAAATTAACCTAAATACAGAGAAAGAAACAGGAGCTCCAGTTACAATGAAGGATGTTTATGATGAATTTGATGAGAAAATAGCAGCAAAACACAAAATTATGAAGTTCAAGTCCAAGGTTTGTATTTGGTGATAATTTTTTCCAGTTTTAATTATTACTTGTTCATTTCCTGATTTAGTCAATAGTTATTGCATATCCTCTTTGTGCAAAATGCCATCTGTGTGGTTATAATTCACTGAATGGGAATTTTCATATGTGTCAATGTCAAACCAGTATATTAAATTTGTGAAAGTATTTTTTCTTTTTAAACTGCTTATAAAATAATGGTCATTAATTTCAATAGAAAATAAGTCATAACACATACTTCCCATACTTGTAGCATATTTTATGCTCTTAATATGAAATGGAAAGGAGGCCATTCTCATCTTATATATTAGTTATTACCAGGCTGTCTTTGTCAGAAGGCTAAAGTAATATTTACTGCACTATATAAAGTAAGGTTTTAATCTTCAAAAATCAGGTGCTGTGATGCTTTTACTAAACAGAATAAAAATCTACATATTGATCAGTTGTCTTGATTTTAGTGAGTTATTCATTCCTTTGGCCATTATTGCAGGGACTCTGTCTCAACATATAGGCTATTATCGGTGATACTGTTCAAAAGGGAGGATGGAGTTGTGGAACACATGACTAATTGCCTTAACTATTTGAGCTTTGAATTATGGCTGATGGATCAAGTCTCTGAGATTCTAGAGCAATGCGGTGTGATGGTGAAGCCCATAGATTCTGGGGCCAGACTGCTTGTGCATCATGTGACTGACAAGTGCTTAGTGACTTCTGGGCCTGTTTCTTGGCCTGAGAAGTAAGGCCCTATTTCAATAGTTGTTGAAAGGGTTGAACTAATGAATTCATATAAGGTGATAAGAATAGTCCTTGAGGGCCTCCCCGGTGATGCAGCGGGTTGAGTGCAGCACTTTGGAGTTGTCCACAGCCTCTGCAGCGCGGGTTTGATTCCCGGCCGGCCAGGGAGATACCCACATGGTGCAGCAGACCTCTCCTGCCTCGCCTGTTGCTTCCCTCAGCAGTGTCTTTGGTCCATCTGCCTGTTCTGCTCCCCGCTCTCTCTGGTGAATTCTCTCACCCTCCTGTGCCTCTGGCCTGTATCCTAGTTCTTGTATAAATAAATAAATCTTAAAAAAAAAAAAATAGTCCTTGGTACATGGCAGCTCTCAATAAATATGAACTGTAGTTATAATACTAATTACTAGTTTTTCTAGCAAAATGGAGTTGCTTAGTATCAAAGAGTAGCACACAATTTTAGTGTATTAATATTGTAAAAGTTTAATAAAATTTTTTATTACCCCCTTTGAATATAAATATTTCTAAGTTTTCTAGTGTCCATTTTGTCACTGGGTATTTTAGCAGTGGAAGGAGCAAAGGATACCTTTTGACATTATATAGCTTTGTGTTCTCTAAGGGTACTAGATTCCTAGTGATTAAATATGGGGACATGTGTTGTGTGTGTAATGCTTATCAATCTCATCTGTGAAAAGTTTCTGTCTTAATGATTTTTATATGTCTGTTTACCCAGATAGTGGAAAAGAACTATGCTTTTGAGATACCTGATATTCCAGAAAAATCTCAGTATTTGGAAGTTAGATACTCGGTAAGTCAAACAAAGAAAATTATTAGGTTTTGGTTGAGAGTAATTTTTTTTCTCTCTCTGAGCTTTCAGCTGACTTTCAACTAGGAGTATGGACAGGGCTCCTAAAGCCCACAGTTCACTGAGGTGGACTTCCATAATGAATAATTAAACTGGGTCATATTAATTTAAATAATGTAGACTACAGATTATACTTCCTTTGTCTACTTTCAAGTATGTATCAAGTATTAAATAAGTTGAAACAGCACGGCTGTTTGTCAAGTGGAATGAATGCCACAGGATGGAGTTGGACATTAGTCTGTTGAAGTGTCCTTTCTGAGCAGTGGAAAGGTGAGAGAGGCGCGTCAGTAACATTCCTCTAGCGCTGCTCCTGCTCCTAGGACAGGCAAGGTCATTGCTGCAAGATGCTAATTAGCGACCATGACCTCCTTTTACCTCTGTTTTAGTGTTTTGATCCCATGATGTTGGAAATGGGAGACTAAGAAATGTTTCTGACAGTGGTGATAAAAAGTACCATGGAAGCGTTTGGAATGAGTCCACTCTCTCACTTTCATTCTCCTAATGGAGTGGTACTTATTTGGCTATTCTTTATCAGCAAGGCATGTATGGCTCTGGACAGAATTTTTCTTTTGGGGGAGCTTTCTGGCCTACTTTTCTTCTAATGGGTGTCATCAAGATGCATTATTTTGTCATCGTGAATTGTTTTTGTTTCCTACTGTGAATTGTTTTGGATTTCATTTGTGGCAAATTACATTTCATATATATCAAAGGCATTTTTGCTGGTGCATCACATAGAGGCTTTTGTTTATTTCAAATACGTACTTTGGAAAATGTGAAGTAATAATTTCAAACAAAAAAAATTTTTCATTTTTTGCCTTTTTCAGGCTGAAATGCCACAGCTTCCTCAGAGTTTGAAGGGAGAAACCTTCTCTCATGTATTTGGAACCAACACATCCAGCTTGGAACTATTCTTGATGAACAGAAAGATCAAAGGACCTTGTTGGCTTGAAGTAAAAAATCCACGTAAGAAAAAATTTACTTTCAGAATGCTAAGTCAATTGCTGATAAATAATGGGTTTTCAAGGAGAGTTAAGGAAGTCTGTTTATTTCTGTGTGTCCACTCTCTATGTTTGACAAACAGCTGTGCTAGTGGTCTAGTTGGAGGGTGGTCCTCATTAGCCCTGGTGGTCTATTGGTTGCATAGTGAACGCTGACCTCTGATGGGGGGGCATCACTGCCCCAATGCGAATAGTGCTTGTTTCATCTCTTTCCTCATGCTTTTCAGTATTTGCATCTGTGATAATAATTTTGCCTTCATGAACTCCTTGGAAATGTTCTGTGAATCCTCCAAGGCACACAGTTTTATTTATTTTTTTTATAAAACCTCTGGATTCTTTGGAGAATAATAACTGTGGACCCTTTTCCCAGGAAAATGAATATAAAGGGCCTCTCTGGTGGCACAAGGGGTTAAGCCCACACTGTGAAACAGCTCTGGGTGGCCATGGAGCAGCCCACATGGCGAAGCAGATCTCTCCTGTCTCGCCCACTGCTCCCCTCAGCAGTGTATTTCGGTCAGTCTGCCTGTTTTGTTCCCCACTCTGTCTCTGGTGAATCCTCTCACCCCGCACATCTCTGGCCTCTACCCCAGCTCTTGTATGCATAAATAAATCAATCTTAAAAAATGGATGTAATGTACACACAAGCACATGTGTGAAGATTTGCATATAGCCAATAATGTGACTTATTTTTAGAAGTTATAATAAGGTATTAGAGGTTGGGATAGAAGATCATCTTAGTTCATTATAGATGTTTTAATTATAGTAGTTTTTCTTTTTCAGAAAATGACTATTGATCTGTTGTATCCTCTTTTCAGAGCTCGTGAATCAGCCAATTAGCTGGTGTAAAGTTGAGGCAATGGCTTTGAAACCAGACCTGGTGAATGTAATTAAGGATGTCAGTCCTCCTCCGCTTGTGGTGATGTCTTTTAGTGTGAAGACAATGCAGAATGCAAAGACACATGAAAATGAGGTAAAGAAATAGGTCAGGTTTATTTTTGAAGATTTATCTTTATTTGTGCATACAAGAACTGGGGTACAGGCCAGAGGTATGGGGCTGAGGGGTGGTAAGAGGTCTCACCAGAGATAGTGGAGAGCAGAAGAGGTGGATCTACTGAAATACATTGCTGAGAAGAGCAGTGGGTGAGACAGGAGAGGTCTGCTGTGCCATGTGGGTTAGCTCCCTGGCCAGGGATCGAACTCATGCCACAGTGGCTGGCGATTGCTTGATAGCACTGAGACTTTAACCCCTGTTCCACTAGGGAGGCCCCAGGTCAGAATTTTTAAAAAATATTTATTTATTTATTTATTTATACAAGCACGGGGTACAGTCAGAAGCGCGGGAGGGCGAGAGAACTCACCAGAGCCAGAGCGGGGAGCAGAACAGGCAGACTGGCGAAGTACACTGCTGAGGAGAGCAGCGGCCGGGGCAGGAGAGGTCTGCATGCCATGTAGGACCCTCGCTGGCGGCCGGGGATTGAACCGGTGCTGCAGAGGCTGTGGGCACCTTTGCAGCCCAGTGCTCAACTGCTGTGCCACTGGGGAGGCCCCCCTAGGTCAGATTTTAACGTATGTTTTTGATGCAATACTTGCCTCAGCACAGCTTTTCTGCAAGGGAAACTTGGTCTTTTTGAAGGGAGAAGGATACTGATTCACTACTAAAGTCTATTTTGGAGAACGAGTTGGATTTCTTTTTTAAAGACTTGGACTTTATTTTTAATTTTCTTTTTGGAGAACTTTCTATGGACACGGAATAATTTACTGAACTCCCATTTAACTGTCACTCGTGCATTCAGCAGTTAGCAAGATTTTGTGACATTCGTTTATCCTCCCCTCTTCTTTTTTCCTCCCAGAGCATTTGAAAGTGAATTTTAGACATTGTTATTTTACTCCTGTATACTTTGATATGCATCTCTCAAACTATGTGTACTTTCTTACAGAATTTCTTACACATACCATTATCACACCTATAACATTAACATCTAAAACATCTAGTATATATTCACATCATTCCATTGCTCAATAATGCCTTTTAGCACTTGGTTTTTTTGAATCAGGAGTCATACAAGAGTCACAGATGGTGTTTAATTTTTATGTCTGTTGAATCTCTTTTGAAAGGGTGCAGCTCCTCCTGCCCCTCTAAATTATTCAGTGACATTGACTTATTGAAGAAACACTGTCGATTGCCTTGTGGAATGTCCCATTTTCTGTTTGTTTGCTTTGTTGTGGTGTCATTGGTGTTCTTCCTCTGAATTAGTGTTGGCAAACTGGCCTGTGGTCGAATCCAGCTCGCCACTTATTTTTGTAAATAAAATTTCATTGGAAGACAGTTTGTCTATTTACATGCTACCTATGCTGCTTTTGTACCACAGCAGCAGAGTTTGTAATCATGTCAGAGATAATGTGGCCTGCAAGTTCTAAAATATTTATTCTATGACCCTTAATAGAAGTGTGCCAGGCTCTACTAGTTAGTGCCAAAGGACTGATTCAATTCAGATTTGCATTTCTTGGCTAGAATACTCTATAGGTGGCACAGTGTACTTAATGGTGCACCATAGCAGGAGGTACATGTCTGGTTAAACCACCGTAAGTAGGACTTATTGATTAGTCATTTCAAGTTTCATCTAAGGCAGGGTTTTCAGCCTTGGCACTGCTGGTATTTTGGGCTGTGTAATTCATTGTTGTGGGAGCTGTTCCCTGCATTGTGTGGTGTTTAGCAGTATGCTTAGCTAGGTGTCAGTAGCAAACCTCTCCCCCCAGTCAACACAACCAGATAAGCCTCCAAATATCACCAAGTGTTCCCCTGGGTAAGGGTGATTATTCCCATCTGAGAACTGCTGATCACTTCATCTGTTAGTGATTTTTACTTGGATTACTTATCTCGTTAGGGTTCGTGAGCTGGTGGTTTTCTGTCAACCTTTCCATGTTCATTAAACTTGTTAAATATTAGGACATCTATTAGCTAAGTTTTTCTATAAAGGTCATTTTTTCTTATTAACCAGCACTATTTGTTTATATTGCAATAGTTTATACAGGAAGGACAGATACATATGTACTTCTTTCTCTCTTTGCCAATTTTCTGGGTAGGAGGTTAGGGAATGAAATTACATGCAGTGCTGACCAATGTTTTTGATTATTTTTGTTATTTATTTTTGCTTTTATGGAATTTCATTATGAACTCACTGGTTTTGTATCTATTCAGTGTATTTCAATCTATTGCATTCATTGTTATTTTTGATATTTTGTCTCTGGTCAGTGGGAACTTCATTACATTCTAAATTTTGACATTGATGGGGCTGTTTTTTAACAGCAACATTTGGGCAGTATTTTTACTCTGATTTTTAAATGAACTGATTTGATCTTTTAATAAGTTACTATAGCGTAAAGGGTCATAGTTACTGGTGGAGTGTTTGAAAAGGTTTAAGTAGTTTAAAAAAAAAAAAACCATTCCCTAGTGTCCAGAATGAGTTTTCTAAATGTTACTTTCTGGTAAAGGAAACAGGGCTCCATGCAGAAAAGCCTGATTCAGGCCAGGAAATGTCTGAGATACACCTGGAACATTTTGTTATACTAGAAAGCATCTAAAGGTGTGCCAGAAGGGCTAAGGAGTTAATCCGAGCTTTCTACTGGCCAAAGATAGGGCAGTTTGAGCAAAGATAAGAATAGCTACAACAGATGGAAACACATAAGTTCATAATACTACTCTATACATCCTAACAAGACCACATTGGCCACCTGTGGTGGAAGTTAGGGAGTCAATTCATTCTTCTAAAAATTGATAAAGGATTGAATCACGTATTGATCTGAATGTTTGGTTACTCAGGTAACCAAATAATTGATGAGGGGAAGTTTTTCTTCATAGATTTCTAGTTAATAAATGATGATGGAAAAATTGAGTTATTATACTTTGTAATCTCAGACGGAATAAATAATGGATCTAGGCATTGATCACCAGTGGCTATTAATATCACTAAAATACAGATAACTAGACATGGTTATCTCAGAAGTAATCACTTTGGTGCCTCCAAAGTATGCTTGCCAAAAATAGAACCTGATTTTGATCAAGCCTTTAGATCTAATGTGAATTTATCAGCAATACTAAAACAGAGGAACTTGTTAAAAGACAACTTTGTGATGCAAACAGCGGAATCCACCTATCAGGCACTCTAGAGGGTAAATGACCCAGTTTCCACAACACATAAATTGCAACGATGTAATAGTTGGGTGGGGTTGTGTCAGCAGTTTTACCTATATTAACCAGTTGCAGATATGGATTTTATGTAGTAAATAAAATGATAAAGTAGTTGGGAAAACAAAAATTTGAACCCTGCGTGGATAGTGATTTTAAGGATTTGCTGTAATTGTTTTTTTTTTCAAGATTTATTTTTTAAAGGTTTATTTATTCACGCATACAAGAACCAGGGTACAGGCCAGATGTGTGGGAGGGTGAAAGGATTCATCAGAGACAGAGCGGGGAACAGAACAGGCAGACTGACTGAAATACACTGCTGAGGGGAGCAGTGGGCGGGACAGGAGAGGTCTGCCGTGCCATGTGGGATTCTTGCCTGCCGGCCAGGATTGAACCCACACTGCAGGGGCTGCAGACAGCTTCACAGTGCTGTGCTCAACCCGCCTGAGCCACCAGGGAGGCCCTTTTTAATATTTATTTATTTATGCATACAAGAGCTGGGGCACAGTCCAGAGATGCAGGGGTGAGAGGATTCAGCAGAGACAGAGTGGGGAACAGAACAGGCAGACTGACTGAAATACACTGCTGAGGGGAGCAGTGGACGAAACAGGAGAGATCTGCTTCACCATGTGGGTTGCTCTCTGGTGGGCCGGGGATCAAACTTGTGCTGCAGAGGCTTCAGATTGCTTCATAGTGGGGTGCTTAACCCCTTGCGCCACCAGAGAGGCCCGATTTGCTGTTAATTGTATTAGCTAGAATGACCGTGTTACATTTTAAAACTTCTTTTAAAGTAGTTGTTCTCAATGGGGTATGATTTCGCCCTCAAGAGGACATTGGCAATATCTGGAGATATTTTTGGTTGTCACAACTTGGGTAGTTAGAATGCTGCTAGACATCACACAGTATACCTTATGGCCTCCACAACAAGGAATTTCATCCATAATGCCAAGCTTGTGAAATCCTGTTTTTGAGATAATAGGCTGAAATGTTTCTGGATAAATTGATAGGTTTGGGTTTTGTTTAAAATAATCTAGGGGGAGTGAATAGGTCTGCAGGTGAGTTGATAATCGAAGTTGGAGGACAATTGTATGAGAGTTCACTTTATTCTGTTTTTTAATTTGTTTAAATATTTTCATAATGAGAAGTTAAAAGATAGTCATACAAACTGGAATCTATTAATCTTGGTGGTTTTGATGAGAAATAGAATACACAGTAATGTCTGATGCGTGGTGTGTTTTCCTCCTTTCTTTGCAGATTATCGCTATGGCAGCTTTGATCCATCACAACTTTGCATTAGATAAAGCACCCCCACAGCCTCCCTTTCAGTCACACTTCTGTGGTATGATGTTTTTTTTCCTAGTTTATTAATAGTTTGATTTTAGTTTTTCTTATTTTTTCTCCAACTTTTGGATCAGTAACTTTTTTTTTTAAATATTTATTTATACAAGCACTGGGGTATAGGATAGAGGTGCGGGAGGGTGAGAGAATTCACCAGAGACAGAGCAGGGAACAGAAAAGGCAGAAGGACCGAAGTACACTGCTGAGGGTAGCAGCGGGCGAGACAGGAGAGGTCTGCCTCACTATGTGTGTATCTCCCTGGCCAGCCGAGAATCTACCTGGCGCTGCAGAGGCTGCGGACAGCTTCACAGGCACTGCGCTCAACCCGCTGCGCCACCGGGGAGGCCTTCAGTAACTTGTTTTTGAAAACGTTTTCTGAAGTAGTTAATGCATACTGTTAGAGAAGTTTTTTTTGTGTGTGTGTGTGTGTGTGATCTGTGAACACTAAGTTTTATTGGATTGATTGCCTCCTATTGTTCTGGTAGCTGAAGTTGGGAGGCAGCTTGGTATCTCAGAGTGACTGTTTTGGGGTGGAGTAGTTTTTTCCTGGGTCAAAGTATGCTTTAACTGTTCATGATGTTATTCTAAAAGCTCATCATAGAAACCTTGCCAAGATTTGCAGTGTGATGAGGCAAGGTGCCAATGCATAAATAAATGCTTACTTATTTGGGGGGAGTTACGGTAATACTAAATTGGAGTTGGGGTGTGCTCTGCATAAAATCCAGTGGTTAAAATTATGCCACAGAATTCTGCATGCCAGAATATGTTCTATGTTGCAAGCTTGGTCAGGTAAGTGACCTTTTTTGTTTTGTTGAAAGGCGGGACATGCGCAGAACCTCTCCTGCCGCCCGCTGCTCCCCTCAGCAGTGTACTTCAGTCCTTCTGCCTGTTCTGCTCCCCGCTCTGGCTCTGGTGAATTCTCTCACCCTCCCGCGCTTCTGACTGTACCCAGTGCGTGTATAAACAAAACAAACAAATAAATAAAATAAATAAATAAATAAAAACATGCCTCTTAAAAAAAAGGCGGGACATGATACCATTGACCTGTTATGCTTCGCTGGGATTGTTTGTAGCCCAGAAGCATTTGCTGCCTGGGTATCCTGGGTATTAGGAAAGTGGGGCTAGGGAAACAAGCAGAAGAGGGAATGTGACATATTATTATTTTGAAGTTTTACCCTTTCAATGGGGTGGAATACACAGAACAAAATGATGAGAATAGCCTGGAAAACATGTGGAAGAAAGTAGTCATTAACTCATTTCAACGTGCATTTATTCCTCTCCTCTGTATATGTCACTGTGAACAGCTGTTGTGAGTAGCAAGGAACAGTGTGTAGTGGAGGAAGCTCCAGTCATCTTTACTTCTCTAACGTTGAGAAGGTTGGATTGAGTTCCTCTATGATAGATTGTTTGAGGCTTTGGTGATGGTGGGAATTGCCTTTTGGAAAGTGTCAAACATCCTATATTCTGACTCTGATGAGTAGCAAATGTTTCATCAAAGAGCTTTTAACAATTGCTGGGACTTGGGCTTTTGTGTGTAGCTATTAATTTGAGGTCCAGCAACATGAGCAATGGAAATACTTAACTTTTCAGAGATTGGGGAGAATTTATTTTTATTTAAGACAGTTTCCATTCAGAAACATCCCGTGTGTGTATACTTAAAATTGGACTAAGATGGGTGTTGGAATCTTTTTCTTCTTACAGTTGTATCTAAGCCAAAGGACTGTATTTTTCCATATGATTTGAAAGAAAGCATTAATAAAAAGGTAACGTTATTTATTCCTTTTCAATATGAAGCATTTGTTTAGAAAGAAAAGGAGGATGGTATGGATTAGAAATAGGCCATTTCATATGTTAGTTTATTGGTAGGTTGAACTGTGACATTAACCCATTAAAGTATATTAGAAACATAAAACTAGAAACATTACTGATTTAAAAATGTTTAAATGTTTTACCACCTTACATTAATGGATACTACACCTTATTAGTAGATGGATAGGCTCATGCCCTCCTTCAGATAGCTTAATTGGAAGCTTTCCCAAAATGCATGATCCATGATTACTGGTTTGGTAAAGTGTGGGGTAAAGCCCTGCCCTCCCACCCTCCAGCTTGAAGGGAGCCAAGTGAAGTTGGGAATGCTGTGGATAGTTAAAGGGGACATGTATTGGAAAGGTTAATGTAGGGTGGGCAAAACTGATAATTATCTCCAAGTCCCAATATACTCCATGAAGAAGTATTAATGGGGGGGGGGGTAGTAGTATAATGAGGTTTTCACAAAGGCAGAGATAGTTAGTGTAAAGAATTTCTTTTTTGGATATTGTTTCTTTTTTGAAATGATTATGTTGGTGAATTTATAGGTTTTTTTTTTTAAGGGTCCTCACTTGACAAAATTAGATGTGAGTGACCTTGTCAGGGTTCACTTCTGTTAAATTGGCGTGAGAAATCCAATAGTCTGGGGATACTATTGAATCAAGCTGTTTAGTATTTGTGAAGTACCCTGAATTACCTAGCCAAATAAAATGACATGGAGAATTCCATTAGATTCAAACTGAATCTAACATATAGCCACCAATTCTATTTTAAAAGATTCTTAATAAAGTGGATCTTTTGAATACCTGACTTAAATTCAGTAATTCAAATGGAAGCCTTTTGTGTGAGATAGCTTTTATTTATATTTGAGACACTTGTAGTTCTTAAATCATGTTTGTTTTTAGTCTGGTTTCTTATTTATAGATTTTTGCACCACTGTTTGAGATCAGTTTATACTATCCTTGGGATTTCTTTATATGGCAAATACGTAAACTGTGAAGTCTACCAGGGATTATATAGGAAAGTAAGTAATGTTTTTGATAGGTACTCTGATTCATATGCTATAAAATGTGTCCAGATGCACTAGTGTGTCCCTGTGGAGGGACATTTCTGTACTTGATAGTTTTCAGCACTTAAAATTTTGCTTCATTCACATGCTTATTACTAGAATGAGCTCCTCCGAGACTTAGTGCAATTATTACTGTGAAACCTAGAATCAGGAATTTTATTGCTGTAGTTATTTTTGAAATGGATGGTTTCTTTTAGCCCTAAGAAATCTTAGCCTGCTTGAACAAGGAGCCAAGGTTTAGTACTTGAGTGTAAAGAGTGAGTGACTGGTATGTTTTTATCTCACAGAAAGTGAAGGTTGAGGTTGCTGCAACAGAAAGAACACTGCTAGGTTTTTTCCTGGCAAAAGTTCACAAAATTGATCCTGATATCATTGTGGTGAGTAGATGCTGGGTCATGATGTGGGGGAGCTCTTCACTTCTTACTTCTCAGCAGCAGAGAATCTTTTCAGAGTGAAATGACCCCTTGGACTGGTGGGAGTTTTTATACTACTTTCTGCTAACAGAAAGGGGAAAAAAATTCTAGCCCATACAAAATAGCTTTTTCCCCACTAATAGAAAAGTAGCTCATGAATTATTGTTGAAGTTAGGATTACTCTAGTTATTTACACGTAAGAGACCAGTCTGCAAGTACATAAGCTTGTGTCAACTGTTGGTAGCTCCCAAATTTTGATTTAGTAGCCTGGCTGACAGTGGTCACAGTGGTCACTACAGTTTGGTGCCAATAGCCAAACTAAATATTTTATTTTTTTTAAAGATTTATTTATCTTTATTTATCTCCTCCTAAGGGGAGCAGCAGGCGTGACAGGAGAGGTCTGCGGCCCTATGTGGGACCCTTGCCGGCAGGCCGGGATCGAACCGGCACTGCAGAGGCTGCAGACAGCTTCGCAGTGCGGCGCTCAACCGCCTGTCCCACCAGGGGAGGTCACCAAACTAAATATTTTAATTTTATAAGCTGTATGGATCTCTATGATATGTTCCTTTGAAACTCAGGGACAGTAATCTTTTTTTCTCTTAGCAATCGGGTATGCTCCCACTAGACAGTAAGGTATTTTTTGCGTTGTCTTTGCTCCAGTTCCTAACCCATAAAGCAACATTTTGCTTTGTGTTTCCTCTGACCTTTCTATTTTGTAGGTCCCTTGATAGAAGTTCCTTTGTGTTTTTTTTTGGAGGGGGTTAATGAATCAATCATATTATATTGTGCTTTTGTTGTTTTTCAGAGTGAGGTAGGCTGTGAATACCTGTATATTAAATGTGAGATCCATGATTTAGTTACATTGAAGCCTTGTAAAACGTTTGCCGTATATTTTTCCATGTTCATTTCTGCTCTTGGATACCTTTCTTGATGATGGTTTTGCAAAAGTACCAAGAGCATGTGGGTTCTTACCCAGTGTCTTTGCACCGCCTTCCCTTACTATATTTGAACATCCATGTTTAGAGTGCCAGGGAGACTATCCACATACCTGCCCGTGGTGTTCTGGCTCAGCACAAGGTGCTCATCCAGGATCCATTAGCAGCAGTCTCTCTCGGGCCCCAAGGAGATGTCATGGTACCCAAGGGACCTGACTTGCCTTAGGGTGCTACAGCCAGTTCTCTGTGAAAGAAATCCAAACTGATGTAAGAGAGAATCCTGACATGGGTTTGAGTCCTTATTCCCAGGTATGAGAGTTTGAAAATGAGACTTCCACATGTTCTTTAAGTCTCTTAATTTAATAGACAAAGCTGTCATAAATAAATAGTGCTATGTATTTTTAAAATTAAAACGAACAACAAACTTGCTTATCTGATATATTTTAAACTTCATCTAGTTTTTTTACACATAGGCAATGAACCCTATTAGTCACATGACGGAAGTCATCATTACTGTAAAGTCATTTTTACATTACATGTAAAATTTGATTGCATTTGTGAAATATTTTCTGCTTGGTATAGTTTTGCTGCCTTGTTTTTAACAAGTTTCTTATTTGAACTATCAAGTGGTATTGTATATTTATTTTGCTGCCCATTGATTAAAATGTGTTTGAATTCAGTTCTTTAAGAAGAACTAGGTGCAATTCCTGTTTTTTGTAAGACGTCTATAAATTACCACACAGCACAAGCTGGTTCTTAGTTTTTAAGGAAGTAAAATGGAATTATTTGAATACAGCTTTTACTGATCACGTGAAAAGTATGGGGACTTAAAATTTGCATTTACCTCCGAGACTGTGAGGCATGAGCTGCAAATTAAAAGACATCATATGAACCCTGCATCAATTAGGATGAAATAAAGTTTATTCTAGCAATCTGCTTAGCAGTCTTGTTAATGTCAAGGCTAATGAATGCTGCTGATGAATAAATTCCTGAAGAAGAAAGAACCCCAATCGGAGGTAAGCTCATGATGCCTTCAATTAGAGACCAGAAAAAGAAAGGGCAAAGAAATTCTATGCATATGAAGATAAATCCTCTAATTTGCATTTGTTATGTTATTGACTGCCTTACTTTTCTGACTAGGGTCATAATATTTATGGATTTGAACTGGAAGTGCTGTTGCAGAGAATTAATATGTGCAAAGTTCCTCACTGGTCCAAGATAGGTCGACTGAAGCGATCCAACATGCCAAAGCTTGGGGTAATGATAATTTTCAGTCTTCTTTATCTGGCTTTTTTAAAAAAAGATTTATTTATGCATACAAGAGCTGGGGTACAGGCCAGAGGCATGGGAGGGTGAGAGGATTTTAGAGACGGAGCGGGGAGCAGAACAGGCCGACGGACAGAAGACACTGCGGAGGGGATCAGCGGGCAAGACAGGAGAGGTCTGCCGTGCCATTTGGGTATCTCCCTGGCCGGCCAGGAATTGAACCCACGCTGCAGAGGCTGCAGACAGCTTCACAGCGTTGTGCTCAACCTGCTGTGCCACCGGGGAGGCCCTATCTGGCTTTTTTTAAATATGGAATTAACTTCTGGGGGATATAGTCTTCTTTGACTCAGAACAGGTTGTCTTGTGAGAGAACATTGTAACTTTGGCACTCAACATCTTTTCCTTTGAATACAGCATTTTTTTGATATAAGCTATTGGTAGTTTTTAAGATTGGTGTTAGAACCTAGAAAGTGCATCTATCTGTCTCCTCCACTTTGGGATCACAGAAGCATTGCCCTTAGGATAGAGCTGCAGGGCTTAGAAATACCTGAGTGTTATCATTCAGGAAGAATAAGGGAAGAATAGAAGGGAAACGGTGTTCATTGTCTAGGAAGACAACATCTCAGTGCCTCCATACTAGTTGCTCTCACAACAACTCCAATTTTGTTGTACAGACATTCTCACAGGAGTAACAGAACTTGTTCAAGATCATAGAATAATAAAGGGGAAGAGCTGAGATTCTGAACCCAGGCCTGTCTGACTCTTAAAACTCCTGGGTGTTTTATTTTCATTCTCCCTGCTTGCTTCACTTAGGAAAGTTTTGGTGGGTTTTGTATGAAGAACCTTCATTTCTTAGACCTGACACAATTTATTTCTTGAAATCTTACTTTACTTGAAGCTTATAAATAAAATGGGCTACCTAATTTCTTTATCTTTATTTGTTAATGTGTATGTCTAATAAGATCAAGAATCTTTTCTGTTTTGCTCATTTCTATATTCTGAGTGCCTAGAACAGTGTCAGATACATAGTAAATATTCAAAGATATTTGACTGATGGCTGAGCGATTGGATGACTGGAAGAATGAGAGTTTGATAATTGTAATTTTTGGGCTAGCCTCAAAACAATTTAGAAGGAAATGTTCTCAGTGTCTCCTCTTCAATGGGATTTGCTATTTGTCCTTCTGTTGCAGGGTCGGAGTGGATTTGGTGAAAGAAGTGCGACCTGTGGCAGAATGATCTGCGATGTGGAAATTTCAGCAAAGGAGTTGATTCGTTGTAAAAGCTACCATTTGTCTGAACTTGTTCAACAGATTCTGAAACGTGAAAGGGTTGTAATCCCAATGGAAAATATACGAAATATGTACAGGTATGCTCCTGGGTGCTCCAGAATTTGTCTTAAAACAACAGCAAGATGCAAGTATCATCAGGGAGAAAAAGAAGCCCATGGTGCTGTGGAGCTGGAAATTGTGTCTTCCTGTCCATATTACCATCTCCATTGCTTTAGTAATTGAAACTGGTCTCTTGCATTATCCTCGTTTGATCAGTTTATCTCCATCTCCCTCACTTAACACCAACTTGATGTTTCCTGAGACCAGTTTGGAAATTGATGTGATATTTACTACCACCCAATGGAATTCATTTATTATCATTTATTATTTATTAAATAAATTATTTCAGGAGTTAGTGTAAATATTTTATTACTTTTTAAAGATTTATGCATACAAGAGCTGGGGTACAGGCCAGAGACATGGGTGGGGGGGCGGTGAGAGGATTCACCAGAGACTGAGTAGGGAGCAGAACAGGCAGACTGACTGAAATACACTGCTGAGGGGAGCAGTGGGTGAGTCAGGAGAGGTCTGCTGCGCTATGTGGGTTGCTCCCTGGCCGGCCGGGGATTGAACTCGTCCTGCAAAGGCTGTGGATTGCTTCATAGTGCAGTGCTTAACCCCTTGTGCCACCAGGGAGGCCCAGTATAAATATTTTAGAACTATAAAAACTGAGAAATTGTTAGATTTTATTTTATCCAACTCTTGAAATAAAAGTGATAAGTAAAAAGTACATATATTTAAGTTGTACACTTGATGTTTGATATACATTATACATTGTGAAATCATCACTACAATCAAGCTAATTAACATACCTGTTATCTAATAGTTTCTTTGTCTTTATTTTATTTTTTTTAAAGATTTATTTATTTATGCATACAAGAGATGCAGTACAGGCCAGAGGTGTGGTGGGTGAGAAGATTCACCAGAGTCTTTGTCTTTATTTTTGTAGTGAGAACACATAAGCTGTGTGCTCAGTATATTTCAAGTTTATGATATTTTATATTATTATTGTGTCACACTGCTCGTACATTGGATCTCCAGAACTTTTTTTGCATGACTTTGTGTCTGATTATTTTTTAAATGGTGTTTTTTTAAAAAGATTTATTTTATTTTTATGCATACAAGAGCTGGGGTACAGGCCAGAGGTGTGGGAGGGGTGGGTGAGAGGATTCACCAGAGACATAGTGGGGAGCAGAACAGGCAGATTGACTGAAATACGCTGCTGAAGGGAGCAGCGGGCAAGTCAGGAGAGGTTTGCTGTGCTATGTAGGTTTCTCCCTGGCTGGGGATCAAACTCGTGATGCAGTGGCTGTTGTTAGCTTCATAGGTTGTGTCTTAACCCCTTGCACCACCAGGGAGGCCCTAAAAACAAGGTTTCTTTTACCCTTCTGGCCACTTCTTAATCTTTTCTTCCCATTTACCTCTCTCACCACTTCTCATTCTTTTCTGCCCATTTTTTCCAAGTGCTTGGACTGCTGCTCTTTCTGACTGTGCTCCCTCTCTAGGTGATCTTACTGAGTTTTAGGAATTTAAATACCATGTGGATGCTGTTTCCTCCTGATACATATCTTCAGCTTAGATCTTCCCCTGAATTCCAGATTTATGTATCCAACTGCATCTTCTGTTTAATGTCTAATAAGAATGTCCATCCTGTTAAAAAACTCCTAATCATCTTCCCTAGGTTCCTTTGTAGGCTTTCCTTAACTAATGGCAATTCTTTTTCCGTTACCTCTGGAAACGTCCATAATTATCCTTGACCCAAAATTTCTGAGACATCCGTGATATTTCTCCTGACATCCCATGTTTCTCCATCAGGATTTCTGTCAACTCTCGCTTCAAAATGTCTGGATCTGACCACGTCTCAACCCTTCCATGGGATACCCACCCTGTCCAAGCTGCCAGCCCCTTCCCCCTGGATTACTGGGTCTTCTTTTAAGCCCACTGCTTTCCTTGTTTTTGCCTTTACTGTGTGTATTGTCAACCCAGGAACCGGTCATCCAGCTAAAGTTTAAGTTAGATAAAGCACTCAGCTCAAAATCTTCTAGTGGCTTTTGTTTCATAGAGAGTAAAACCCAAAGTCTTTATTTTGACTTACAGCGTTCTGCATGCTATCAATCTCGGCCATTACCTTTGTCCTTATCTTGGCTACTGTGTCCATCATTCTCTCTGTTCCAGGTGCATTGGCCTTCTTCCTGGTCCTAGAACTGCTGGATTTGTATTCAGCTCAGGGCCTTTGTGCTTTTCTCGCTGCCTAGAATGCTCTTCCCTCGGATACCTATCCACAGGGATTGTCCCCTTACCTCTTGGTGTCTCTATTCTCAGTCATCTCACCCAGTTCTCTAACTAGAATTTTGGATTCTGCTTCTGACAGTTAACATTCCCTTTGCATCTTCACTATTCCTCCTGAACACATAACATATATTTAATATTCTATTTATACTGTTTCCCCCACAAGGACAGGAATTTTTCTCTGTTTTGGTCACAGTGAGCATCTAGAACAATGCCCTGCATACTTCGACATACCATACATGCTTAGTGGATGGAATAAATGAAAGGATTTAGGTAGTTGTCAGGTTTACATTTAATGCATAGCTTCATTTTATCTTTGTGGGATTTTTTTTGTGTTTCTTTTGGAGAAGGGCATTGAGATCAATGGTATGAATGAATTCCTAGTTATATACCAACCTTATTTTAAATTGTTTCTAAAGCTGAGGTGCCATTACACTGACGTTACTTATACCAAATTTTTTTTAATATTTCATGAAGTTCTGATTATAGTCATTGTTTCTTTTAATTACTTGATTCTGTTTCATTCTTACTTTGCTGTACAGTGACTCTTCTCAGCTGTTATACCTGTTGGAACACACCTGGAATGATGCCAGGTTCATTTTGCAGATCATGTGTGAGCTAAATGTTCTTCCATTAGCATTGCAGATCACTAGCATCGCCGGGAACATTATGGTAAATTTAACTTAGAATGGGGGAAAAAGCACTTCCTGTTGGATTCAGTGTTTGCTTGGGGTAGTTGTTATATGATAATGAGTCTAAATGCATGCTTATAAAATGAGTGACTTGTATTCTGAAAGCTGGGCTGCTTTTGTAAAGTGAAGAAGTGGTTGGGAGAAGGGGAGGAAAGCCAGGTGCAGTATGTTGAAATTTGGGTGAACGTAAAGATCATCTCTGACATCTGGATGTGTCTGATTTGTGGAATAGTCCATTTGAGAGTAAAGAAGCCCAAGTTGTTAATATTTTAAGCTCTTGTCTCTTTTTAATTATAATGCATAAAGAAAATGCTAGAAATAATCTAGTATCTTTTTTTTTTTAAGCAGCTCTTGTTTATGAGAATGATTTTGAAGGGGGTGCTGTGACTAAATTTAGCAAATCATGTTGCTTTTGTTTGTTTTGGTTTTGAGCTCAAATTTAAGAAAGAAATTCTATTTCACAGTCTAGGACACTGATGGGTGGACGATCTGAGCGTAACGAGTTCTTGTTGCTTCATGCGTTTTATGAAAACAACTATATTGTACCTGACAAGCAGATTTACAGAAAGCCTCAGCAAAAACTGGTGGGTCCAAAATTGTGTAGTATTTTGCCTTTTTTCCCTTCCCCCTCCCCCATTATTACTTAGCTAACTAGCTCTTCCCCCCCCCCCCCACGTGATACACATGCTTCCAAAGTAACTAATCCCCTGTTTATTGTAAAAACCAGGTTTGGTCCATTGTGTTTGTGTGGCCATTTCCTTCTCTGCTTTCTCTGTATCAAGCAAAATTACTTGTGGAGTGGTGAAATTCTTCGAAGGATGCATTGGCTCCTTCGATGGGTGACCATCAAGTGTTTTGCTGCTTTACCCCTACCCATACTCAGGTGCCAGTTAAACTTTTTATTTCCTTAAACCTGTGAGCCTTTTTTCTGTACTAGAATGATTAAGGTCATGACAGTTAGGTTTCTGACGTGGCCTTCGTGACATTGGAGCTAAAACTCAGTTGCTGTTTTATCAGCACTAGCAGTTGTTGATTCAGAATGGGAACTTAATGTTGAAATGATTTAAGAGATCAAGTTCTCATATTTGCTTGTTTCATGTACATTTACAAAATCGGCGTAGGCAATATTAACTTGGAGTATTTGAATGGATTTTCAGTATTATTTACATACTTCATTTCAGGTGTTCATATTAACAAAATAATATGAAATATTTTATACTTTTTTACATCACAAATGTTAGAGTAGTAAATTTAGGAGGACTTTCTAAAATAATGTTAAAGTTATATAATATGAAGAGTTATATTTTTAAGAGCCATTGATTTTTATTTTTAAAGATTTATTTATTCATACAAGAACTGGGGTGTAGGCCAGAGGTGCAGAGGGCTGGAGGGTGGTGAGAGGACTCTCCAGAGACAGTGGGGAGCAGAGTAGGCAGATCCACTGAAACACACTGCTGAGGGGAGCAGTGGGTGAGACAAGAGGTCTGCTGCACCATGTGGGTCAGCTCCCTGGCCAAGTATCGAACTCATGCTGCAGTAGCTGGCCGTAGCTTGATAGCGCTGATTTTAACCCCTGTGCCACCACAGAGGCCCAGAAGCCATTGATTTTATAATACAAAAGTTTCTATGAATTCAGAAACATTTTGAAGTAGAATTTGCATATTTATTAGTATAGTATTTGTTTTGATAATTGCTATACTTGAAATTCATTTTGATTCATGAACATATTACAGTAACTGTCTTTCCCTACACATAGGACCGCTAACTAAAAGTAAAGAACGGTTGTTAGAACTGTAGTTGGAAAAGAGGGAACCATAAAATTTAATTAATCAGTTGCTGGCTGGTGAAGTTCTCTTTCCATTTGATATTAGGGAGATGAAGATGAAGAAATCGATGGAGATACCAATAAATACAGGAAAGGTCGCAAGAAAGCGGCTTATGCCGGAGGCTTGGTGCTGGACCCCAAAGTTGGTAAGTCTGGCCAGTGGATTAATTCGCTTGTGGCGTAAAGAATTTTTTTAAATTGTATAATTTGTTGCTGAGGTGATGTTGGTCTACAACACTACACGATTCAGTGGTACAGGTTCACACCTCTTCAGGTGTATGTTATCATATCATGCCTGCCACCCATAATCCTCCACCAGAGTTCACTGGGCTCCCTAACCCCCTTTACTTTTCACCCTCTACCCTACCCATCTGGTAGCCTCAATTCTATAGTCAGATTTTTAGGGTTTATTTTGGTTTAATTTTGTTCCTTTGTTTCGTTTTTTTTTTTTATATTTCACATACGAATGAAATCATCCAGTATTTGTCTTTCTCTAAAGGAATTTTTATTTCTTTTTTAAAAAATTTTATTTTATATATTTTTACATCACTTTTCATTTTTGCACAATGTATGCATTTTCATCTTGGTTATAGTCCCCATACAATTCCCACCCTCATTATTTTGACCCTAATCCTGCCTCCCCTCCACCCCCCATAGTGTGTCCCTGGTTTATAGTTGCTTGTTGATTTTTGTTTTTACTTTATTTTAATGAGTCTTTTTCCTGGTCCCTTATTTAGCTTTTCTAAATTCCTGCTATGAGTGAGACCATTCGGTATTTTTCTTTTTCTTTCTGGCTTATTTCACTGAGCATGATCCTCTAAAGGAATGTCTTAATGCAAAGCTAGGCCTGAGAAAGAAGAAGGTCTGAATTGTATTTTGTAGGTTAACAACTAAGTCTCATAATGATCTTATTTTTTACCTTATGTTCATGTGAAAACCTGACATGAATTAATAGGAATTTTTTTTGCCGTGTTCTAAGGAAAATTCTATGGACATCAAAATTTAAGTTTTGTGTATTTTTTATGTATCATGAAATATTCTGCTTTTGATTGTTTTCAGCCATTTAAAGATGTAGTAACTATTCTTAGCTTATAAGTGGTTGATAAGGAGGAGTAGGCTGGATTTGGTCTGCTCATAGTTAATGAACTCTTACTGCAGTTTATGGCTGTTCTGTCTTGTGTGGGAGCGCCTTTGTCTTCTTTCATCCACTCTTTGAGGGTGAGCTCTGCCTCTGCCCGATGTGCTGGAAACAGTGCAGTTGGATAGAAAAGTGAAGGAAAGTACAGTCAGTAAATGCCAGATTAGACTTTTAATGAATAACTTTTACCTGTTGTCATGAATAGCAAAGGTTTTACATGGTAACAGAATTAAGAAGGGCTTTTTTTTCATCACCTTACTCATTTTTAAGTGTGCACTGGAACATGTTAGATGCACTCAACTTTGTGCAGGAATTAATGTGATTTTGCTCAGTAGCTGAACTCCCAGTAGGAGTCATTTTTTGACAAAACAGATGGTTAGTCCTTTGGTATTATGTAATATGGACATTTACTTTTATTCAGTTTCTTCTGAAGGTGAAGATAACTAATGGTGAATGTCCTAGAAAAATATAGTAGCTTTCTGTTTATCCTTTGCAAGTAAAAAGGGTGAATCGTTCCACTACTGACATTTATATATAAATATCTTTTATCTAATTATAGCACAATTTGTGTATAAATGGGCTGCCCATTTTATTTTTTATAGATGTGGTTGTAAAACATACATATATTGATACATAGAAACCATTTAGTGGGGTATACTTCACTGAACATAGTGGGGGTGGGATGGGAGGGAATGCTCCCTTGAAGGAGAATTTAACAATCTTTTTCTTTAATGGATATGGCACTTATCTAGAGTAATTGATATGGAAGGTGTTTGCCTATACTGACAGTGTGCTTTGGGAACTGCTGGGGGAAGTTGGTTATAAGTTGGTTATAAGTTGGTTATAAGATAGGATTTCTTTCCTCTTCTTTTGTGACCTGGGTTTTTGTTCTAAGTCATTTTGGTGGAGTGCTTGTCTATTTCTGTTTTCCTCTGGAGGGTATATGTTTTCTAATGTATTTCATAGTATACAGTACTTATAATATGTTTTGACAAATCTGCATTTTAAAGACTTTATGATGTGACTTTTTTATTTCAGGTTTTTATGATAAGTTCATTTTGCTTCTGGACTTCAACAGTTTATATCCTTCCATCATTCAGGAATTCAATATTTGTTTTACAACAGTGCAAAGAGTTGCTTTAGAAGAACAGAAAGTTGCAGAGGTTTGTATTCAACTGGGGGTCCTTGAAATTGAGACTTAAAGTAGTACTAAAACACAAAAGAGAACCAAAGGGGTTAGAATTCTAGTTTTTTATCTCATAAGTATATGTCCTTTCTTAGTGGTTAAAAAAAAAAGGGAAAATGCTGGTTAGGAGATTCAGACTGGTTCTTTTTATTTAACAGTTTTTAAAAATGTAATTCACATACCATACAATTCACCCATTTAAAGTGTTCAATTTAATGACTGTATTCACAGAGTTGGCAGCTTTCACCACAGTCAATTTTGGTACATTTCATTACATTGTGTATTTTGGACATTTCATATAAATGGAATCATCTGACCTTTAATATTTGGCTTATTTCGGTTAGCAACTGTTTTCAAGGATCATCCATATTGTAGCATGTATTGTACTTCATTCCTTTATATTTCTGGATAATATTCCATTATATGGGCATATATCATGTTTGTTTTAGAATTGTCAATTTCTGCAAAGATGTCCACTGGGATTTTGATGGGAATTGTATCTGTAGATCAATTTGGGGAATATTGCTATCTTAAAGTGTTTTCTAATCCATGAATATAGGGTCTTTTCATTTACTGGTCTTTAATTTCTTTCAGCAAAGTTTCCCAGTTTTCATTATACAAGTCTTGTACTTATTAAATTTATTTCTAAATAATTTATCCCTTTTGATGCGATGTGGATGGAATTATTTTCTTAATTTCATTTTTTGATTATTCATTGCTAGTTGACAGAAATTAACTTTTATGTTGATACTGTTTCCTTCCAACTTTACTGAATTTATTAGTTCTAGTTTTGTGCGTTCCTTAGGATTTTCTACATACCAAATCTTGTCATGTACAAATAGAGATACTTTTAATTCCTCCTTTCTAATATGGAAGGCTCATTTTTTTGTGCATGGTTTCCTTGGCTTGAGCTTCCAGTCCACTGCCGAATGGAAGAGACAAGAGCAGATACCCTTGTCTTGTTCCTCATCTCAGTGTGAAAGCAGCCAACTTTCACCCTTAAATATGGTGTTAGTGCTGGACTTTTCATAGATGACCTTTAGCAGATTGAGGAAGTTTCCTTCTGATCCTAGTTTGTGGAGTGTTTTTATCATGAAAGGGTGTTGGATTTTGTCAAATAATTTTTCTGTATCTGTTGGGATGATCATGTGATTTTATTTTTTTTCTTTTATTATGATATATTATATGGGTAGCCATATATTGTACCTACCTGCCTGGTATTCCTGGGATAAACCCTACTTGGTCTTGGTAGAAAATCCTTTTTATATGTTGCTAAATTTGATTTGCTAGTATTTTGTTGTGGAGTTTTGTGTCTTTATTCATAAGGGCTATTGGTGTATAGTTTTCATGTTACGTCTTAGTCTGGTTTTGGTTACTAGGTTAGCTCTGGCTTGAGGGAATGTGTTGGGAAGTGATTCTCCTCTTGGTTTTTGGGAGAGCTTGTTAGGGATACATGCTAATTTAACTATTTGGTAAGAGTCACCAGTGAAAACTGGTCATAGACATTTTTTGATTATTAATTTAGTCTCCTGTTATAGTTCAATTCAGATTTTCTGTATCTTGAGTCAGTTTCAGTAGTTTGTGTCTTTCAAAGAATTTGAAAGACACAAGTTTTATGTAGCTCATCTAATTTGTTGGCATAAAATTGTTCATAGTATTCCCTTGTAATTTTTATTTCTTTAAGCACCTGGTTATGCCCCCTTTTTTATTCTGGCTTCTTAGTACTAATTTTAGTTGTTTTTTTCTTTGTTAGTTATAGCTAAAGGTTTGTGAATTTTGGTGATCTTTTTAAAGAAAAGATTTCCTTGATTTTCCCTATTGCTCTTTCTATTCTTTATTTCTGCTAAAATATTACTTCCTTTTTGCTTTGGTTTAATTTGCCCTTTTAGCTTTTTAAGGTGGAACATTAGGTTATTGGTTTGACATCTTTTTAATTATAGATGTTTGCAACTATAAACTCCCTACAAGAGCTTTTCTAGCTTTTATTCCATAAGTTTTAGTATATCATGCATAACTTTTTCATAATCCCCTCTCCCATTAGTTAATAATAGATCTGATCTCTCTATCACCATAGCTTAATTTTGCCTTTTCTAGAATTTCATATAAATGGAGTGATACAGTATATACCCTTTTGTCTGTTTCTTTTTATTGTTTCACATGTTTTTGAGATACATCTAAGTTGATTCATCAATAGTTCTTTCATTTTTATTGCTGAGAAGTAATTCCACATTTATCTTCTCTCCGAAGATGACCATTTGGATTATTTTCAGTTGTTCACTATTAGTGAAGCTGCTGTGAGCATTCCTGTACAAATATTTTTGCGGATATATGCTCTCATTGTCGGTAGGAGAGTTAATACCTTGGGAGTGAATTTTCTGGTTTGTATTTTTATTTTTGTGTAGAAGAACTGGAGTGTAGGCCATAGGTGTGAAGGGTGAGAGGATTCACCAGAGACAGAGTGTGAAGCAGAACAGGCAGATTGACTGAAATACACTGCTCAGGGTAGCAGTGAGATAGGAGAGGTCTGCTGCGCCATGTGGGTAGCTCCCTGGCCAGGGATCGAACTCATGCCACAGTGGCTGGTAATAGCTGGATAGTGCTGAGACTTAATCCTTAGGCCACCAGGGAGGCCCATGAAAGCATTTGTAATGATTCTGCTCTCTAAACAGACTTTCCAAATTTTGTATTATCTTACATGGTTTTAATCTAACCAGTGATCATTCAGTCCACAATTCTTTTTTTTTTCTTAGTTTTTTTTTATTTTTAAGATTTATTTATTTATTTATACAAGCACTGGGTACAGTCAGAAGTGCGGGAGGGTGAGAGAATTCACCAGAGACAGAGCGGGGAGCAGAACAGCCAGACTTGATGAAATACACCGCTGATGGGAGCAGTGGGTGCGGCAGGAGAGGTCTGCACGCCATGTGGGAACCTCGCCCGGCAGCCGGGGATCTAACCGGTGCTGCAGAGGTTGCGGGCAGCTTTGCAGCCCAGTGCTCAATTGCTGCGCCACCAGAGGGGGGCCCAGTCCACAATTCTTGATAAGACTTAGTGACTTAATGTGTGGTTCTTCATATATACAGTTGACTGTCTAGAAGGAATTTAATTAGATTTGATTCCCTAGCAGTAAAAGATGTAAATTAACATAATCTCTGTATAAAAGTTCCGCTTTGTTTACATGGCAGAAGATGTCTCTTTGCCCCTTCTTCTGAATTTACATGTTCCTTAGTTCCAGCCTCTTGTTTGGGACCTGTTTTCAGTTCCAATTCCTTTTTCCCAGAGGAGAGAATTTGATAAGCTTGCCTAAGTCTATGAACATGCTTGGTCCCATCAATTGTGAACACAGGAATGGGTTCACAGAATACAAATATGGCTGTTAAGGGTGAACCTTTCTGCGGATTGAGGCTAATTTTACAGAGAAGGTATTGGGTAGTTATCCCCAAAGGTAGTGACCACCTTGATTAATAGTATTCTTTGGACTCTGTCTTCCTACTGTGTCAACATTACGATAATTATTATCCAGCTCCCCATTCCCACCCCCATTTTGTTTATTGAACTTTCTAGTTTATATTCTGGGTATATAATAGATTCATTTCAGAATTGAAAGGGATCTTGGAGGTCATCTAACAGGTACTATACCTGTAGCATTTTATAGGTTCCATATCATTTTCTGGTGCAGTGCCTTATTTGCTTCTTTGAACAGCTGGTGGTGGAGCTGGCATGAATTATGTTTTTCCTCTCTCCAGATACTTTCAGTTTACTTTTTATCTGAACTCTGTAGTTGTCTATAAATAAATTGGAATGTGTACCCATATCTCTTTAATAGGCTTGTGACCATCTGTTGCTGTATTAGAAAACAATAGGTCCCTGTTACTATTGTAGGATTGCTCATTTAAAAATATTGATCTTCATTAAATCAGATACTTTGTAAAGGTTGGGTTATCAAATAACATTGACTTGACATACTTTAAGCCAAGAGGTTTATTTATTTATTTATTTATTTTTTTTTATAAGGTTTTTTAAAAAAGATTTATTTTATTTATTTATTCATGCAAGCACTGGGTACAGTCAGAAGTGCGGGAGGGTGAGAGAATTCACCAGAGCCAGAGCGGGGAGCAGAGCAGGCAGAAGGACCGAAGTACACTGCTGAGGGGAGCAGTGGGCCGCAGGAGAGGTCTGTGCGCCATGTGGGACCCTCCTCCTGTGGCCGGGGAGCAGCCGGGGATCGAACCGGCGCTGCAGAGGCTGCGGGCAGCTTCGCAACCCAGCGCTCAACCGCTGCGCCACTGGGGAGGCCCCAAGAGGTTTATTTTAAACTCTGAACCTTTGAAAGGGCAGATATGCCTGGCTTTTCTTTGTAGTATGTGTCTAGAATTAACGGAGACTTGAGAAAACTGGTTTAATGCTTCCTCTAATTTTTCCTACTGTAAATTTTAATATAAGAAGACTGCTCATTGCTTTTCTAGATGTTGCTATTTTTCTACAAACCATTTCTAGATTAAAAAGTACGACATAAGTACCAAGATATGTGCACACACTGAGACACATTATATATATAAAGTTTTTAGTAATGTCGTGGTCTATTTAAATATATGCGTCAAAGTCTCAAATAGCTGATATTTAGACTTTTAATTTTTAGTCTAAGACAGTTATAGTAATTGCCATTTCTCCATAGTTAAAATAAATCCTATGGTGTTTTGTTTGGCAGTACACAGGACTTAAAAAACATAGTTTACCTGTTTTTTAATCTTAGAGGTTTCCATTTTAAAAGGAATTTCCCCCAAAATGTTGCTCCCCTGTGTTGTTGAAGAGAGGAGAGGGGCTCGTGTAAAAATTCATCCCTTTGAATGATTTCTGCATTTGTCAGTAACGAGAGGGGTTGATGATACTGGGAATGATGGAATGATAGAATTGGGAGAAAAACGGTCATTGTGGACTTGTTCTGCTACCCTCATAGCTCTTTCTTCTACCATCTATGCACTGTTGATCTTCTTTATATAAGATAGTGGCTTTTCATGATGTGATCATAGGGTAGAACTCCAGAAAATAATATTTCAGAAATTTAATTCACGATAGTTTGATTTGTATGAAACTTCTATTTTGTGTTCATCAGGATGAAGAACAAGAACAGATTCCTGAGCTGCCAGATTCAAGCTTAGAAATGGGCATTTTGCCCAGGGAGATCCGGAAACTGGTAGAGCGGAGAAAACAAGTTAAAAATCTAATGAAACAGCCAGATTTAAATCCAGACCTTATTCTTCAGGTATGTCTTTTCACTGAGCGACATCTGAGTGACAGTCTCAGCTGTTAGAATTTTCTTATCTAGGAGTTACTTAAACATGATGGTGTTGGCAAATTAATACATGTGCTTATTTTAAGTTTGTGGGTAGGAGATGATTCAAAAATGTAAAATGCCTCCTAATGGATGATTCCTCCATCTCTAAAGCTGTATATGAGCTTTGATTTGTTTACTTGCTTCTAAGAATCTGGGAGGATGGGTGGAGTGTGTTAAGAGTTTTTTTTTTTTAATGGGGATATTGAGGGTTTTCTCCTTATTGGTGGTCTAGAAAGACATCTTGTTTTTGTTGCTTAAGCATCTGCAAATATTGTTGCTTGTGTTCTGTCCTTCTGTTGTCTACAGTATGACATTCGACAGAAGGCTTTGAAGCTCACAGCAAACAGTATGTACGGCTGCCTGGGATTTTCATACAGCAGATTTTATGCCAAACCACTGGCTGCTTTGGTGACATACAAAGGAAGGGAGGTAAATGGTATAACATTAACATCTCTAAAAATGAGAGTATTTTTAACTATCCATCTTTCAGTCAGGAGAGCCGAATAATTATTTCCTAGTTTTGCAGTTTCAAATATCCCTTTCTTAGGACACATTTGAGGCCAGTAGGCTTTTAAACAAGGATTTATTCATTCATCCATTGAATGTGTATGTGCCCGTGCATATTCATTCATCATTTATTAACTGCCAAGCTTCTGTGCCCTACTCTAGTCCCTGGGGATAGAATGTCCAGCAAGATATAGAAGACCCTGCTATTGTGAGGCTCACATTTTACTCAGGGCAGGGTGAAAAGGGGCATGCACTGGGGACATGGAATGGGGAGAGAGTTGTTTGGGAAAATAGACTGTAAATAAGTGAATGAAGAAATAAAAAGAATAATTAAGAAGCTATCGTATAGCTAAATACTGTGCAGATAATTAAGTGACAGTAAGGCACAGAATGTTTACATGGCTATTTAGATGGGTCAGGGAATGCTTCACTGAGGAGGTAAGATAAGTGAGCTGTAAAGGAGCTAGTTTTTGTTTTTTTATTTTTTGCTGATGTATAAGATTGAAATGTGAGGGAGGGGAAGAAGTCAAGGAGGATGCCTCTGTTTTTCTCTTACAGCTGATTAGCTAGTGGAGCCATTTGCCAAAATGGAAAAATCTGGGAAAGAGGGATGAAGAGTTCTATCTTGGATGTGTTATAATTGAGGTTTGCAATAGCTCTGGGCAGAGTAATTAGGCTGTTAGATGTAGGAGTTGGATATAGGAGTCTACAGTTCCAGGAATGTGTCAGGACTCTAGTTACAGGTGAAGAGTTAGTGGCCTTAGAAAGATGGGCCAGATACCAGATTTGAGGTACTGTCACTTTATGAACACTATAAACTCCATCTGCTTTAGTACTTCATGCTTTTTCTTCATTCATAAAAAAGTTAAAAATTAAATATTAATTCCATATGACTACAGCAATCTATTGATTCTGTCAGTAGATTTAAGACTACTACAGTCTTAAGAACACAGTGGTTATGGACAGAATGCTTGTGTTGTAGGGGTCTAGACTCAGAATAATCTTGAGCTGAAATTGGCAAACTGTGATCGGTGGGCCAAATCCAGCCTGCCATGTATTATTGTAAAGTCTTATGGTAACATGTTCATGTATCATCTCTGGCTGCTTTTGGGTTACGGCAGTAAAAAGTTGAGTAGTCAAGGTCAAGACTTGCATGTCCCACAAAGCCTAGACTATTTACTTTCTGACCCTATTGAGAAAAAAATCTTGCTGACCCCTGGTTTAGAGTCAGACCAGTGTCAGGCATTTGAACTTTGAGATGATGAAAATATTCATCTCCACTAACCAAGTGGCTGGCAAGCACTTGATATCTGGCCACTGCCAATGTAGTTGAGGAACTGTATTTTGAATTTTATTTATTTATTGTTAAAATTAATTTAAATAGCCACAGGTGACTAGTGACTACTGTCCTGGACAGTGCACATCTGACTGACATGAAGCAAAATGAGCTGTTCAGAGCCACTCTTCTGTTGGCAGCCCATCTCAACTTGGTATAGGGCACAGTGGGTAAGGGAAAACATGTATTGAACACCCACAATGTATGAGAAGCTTTCAGATGCTGTATTTCATTAAAACCCCACAAGAATCCTTGATATAGGTAATACTCCCATTTCTAGGTGAGGAAGTTAAGACTCAAATGAGGTGAAGTCTAACAAGTAACTGTTTTGAATTGGAATCCATGGCTTCCAGCATCTAAGGATTGTCGGCCCCATCTCAGGATGTCTTTCATGACTGATTCTGCTTTATATCCTTACCTCTCATTCTTGGAAATTCATCTTTTTAAATATTCATCTTAAAGCAGAGGACTTATTTTACATGGAAAAGATACATGTGTTTCAAAGGCTAGTTGAAGTGAGGGAAGGATGTTTTCAGTTTCTTAGGCTAAGTTTACTTTAAAATTATTTAAATTTTATTTCTGTATATGTATCCAGTGGCTTCTGATGGAATACCATCTTATTTTTGTATTAGGAAATGCACTCACTATGCCCCAACTGGGTGATAATACATGGGTTGACTATTGAGATTGGATCAAGGTTACTCTTAAGTTTCTCACGAGAGGCAATAGTTGACAATTTACTCCCTTGGAGAGTGCCTCTTGCTGTTGGGAAATCCCTGTGGTTATATTTTCTGCATTGGCTCAGAAATCCACAAGCTTAAAAGGGCACTGTTGATAATGATAAGCCCCAAATTTGTCCAGTGATCTCCCCCAATCCCCTAATCCATTGTATTTTAAGGGCAATGTTTTCTTGTAGCTGGATTTTTAATATGGAGTTGAAATCCAAGTTTTGTTTTTCTGTTATATAAAACATAACAGTAACAAATCTTCAGTAAATAAACTATAAAAAACCCTGCTCTCTCCACTAAAAATCACAAAATTTCAGCGAAATTTAGAATCATGTGATTTAAATTTTTGGTTTCTACTTTGCTCCTTTCTCTTTCCCCTTTGCTCCTTCCCAAATGATAAATAAAACAACCATGGAAAGTGTGCCTTTAAGGTAATGTGAGGTTAATGAGAAATGATAATTACACAGTTGCTCCCTAGAAATCTTATTCTGGAAGATTCAAAGTCACCTACAGCAATTTTGTCCTAAAATAAAAATTATTAAGGTATTAGTGATAATTATTAGCACTAGTGAATGGGAATATTCTGTGTGATAATCTGTCTTTGGGCTTACTAGTATTTTCCATATATGCTATTAGGTCTTGCTGATTTTCAGCATCTCTTGATTATTAAAGAGGTGGAAGGAGTGAAGTGTAAAATGAGAGGCAGTTTGCTTAGATTTTGGACTACCTTTCTAACTTGTCAAACCTGGTATTTTTTGCATTAATACAGAGTGGACAAGAATAATAGAATAACCTGAAGATCAAAGATTGTTTGCTTTTAAAGGTTTTATAGGATAAATTCAATTAAGGTTCAATTGGGATTAATGAGGAGGAGACCTGGTGCTGTGTCATCTGAAAAGATTATAAAATTTTACATTTGACTATGTGGTTAATACACAGTCTGGAGAGACCTTGAATTCCCCCTCCCTTTTAATTTTTTAGTCTATTTCTTGTGCTCAGTTTTGTTGGAATCATGTAGGTTTGGCTGTGATGACCTAATAATTTCTGTAATCAAACGTATTATGGCTGCTAGAGTACTCAGAGTAATTACTAATTGTATTTTTAAAAACAGGTTTATAATGAAAATGCTGATAGTTGTGTCAAATGGACATCAATATTATCTTTTTCCCAGGTGTCATCTTTCACACTTAAATTCTATGATTTTTAATTGCTCATTGGTAGAAGAATTAGTTTAACGGTTAAGGAATTGTGTGAGGGACCTCACAGCTTGCAGGTTATTTAAAATAGTGAAGTCACTGTTTCCAGAGAACTAATATGGAAACTTAGTTTACAGATACTCGAAAGTGAATCTGTACAAATACCATCTGGTATTTGTGTTTGTTTTCAATGTATATGTCGAGACACATAAAAAAATACTGGTGAGGTTGGTACCACTAAGTATTTTTTAAACCACCAAGAAAACAGAAAATATACTTGGCTATCAAGTGACTGGTGTAGTAATTGAAGTGATTGTTCACTAGATGGCGATAGATACCCTGAGATCATTAATCAATTAAGGATTTTATTCTGTGAACAATGGTGAAGGCCATTTAGTGACAAGCATCTGTCCAAATTTTTGACTTTTGTTAATTTTGAAACTATTAAAGAAAGACTAAAACTGGACCAAAGGATTGTGGTAGTTTAATCTATCTAGTGTTTAAAATAATGATGGTATTTGAATCCTAAGTTTTATTGATAGGAACAATCATTTAATCATTTAATGTATCATAACAAGCTAATTCTTTTATCAAATAGCCAAATTCACACCTCTGGCCGTGAGGCTACAATACATGGCTCCCTCAATCACAGTATCAGGCTAATCTAAAGAGAATTGAAATGATTTTGATATATAATTTTGCCTCTTTGAATTTTGTGTTTTATTTTTTCGAGGGCCTTTATTCTATACTTATAAGCATACTCATTGCATAATCCGTAGTGTAATGGTAATATTTGTCTTTATGGAATAATTAGTACTTATTGACATTGGTATTGTTTTATTTTTACACTCTGTTATTTCTGTGCCCTTGAGAAAACGATTTTTGGTCTGGATTTCTGATTGCAGTTTAAACGTATGTTCTGATGTTTGGGTGTAGAGCCCATGCGTTTTCATTTTCTCACCCAGTAGGCTGAAATGACTCTTTGCCAGCCTGCCTGCCAACCAGTTGTAGACTGCCTGGCTTTCAGTTGTGCTCGGAGCTGAATTTGTGCATTTAGAAAATGTGTCCAAATTGTTGCATGAAAACATCACTGTTTGGGCAAGACTGCCTGGGAGCGTCCGGGACGGAGGCCTTCAGTCTTTTGGTGTCAGTGGAAAGAGAATGGATGGATACAGAGAATCTTAGAATTCATTCTTGAGGGAGTTTTTCATCTTTATCTGGCAATAAGAAAAAAAATCATTTTTATTTTTTTTTTAAAAAAGACCTAGCTTAAAAAGATGTAAATGCAATGACATACTATAGAGACAACTTAAGATCTTTTTCTCCCACCCTCTTTCATTTCTTTTTCATCTTCCTCAGAGGTAACTGCTCTTAGGGTTTGTCCTTATTGTCCATGGTTTTTTGCTTTTACAGCTCAGATATGTGTCTATACATGTGCTGTGTTGAAAGTTTTGATCATCTATGTGTCATGCTACACATAATTTTTTCCAGCTTCTCCAAAAAAGAAAAGTAGTGGGGAAAACCCTATTCTGTATATCACATTTTAGTGTTGATACATTTTTAATTTGATTTATTTATGTTAACTATTGTGTATTATTTCAGTGAACACTAAATACAGTGCAGTGCATTTTTAATTTTCCCATTGTCCACATTTTTAGTTTT